GGTGGCAGAGGGCAGGCCCAATCCCTAGGTGCAGCCCTGGTTGGGCTCAGAGCAGGGCCGATTGGGGAGTTGGGGCGCTGCCCTCTGTCATGCACAGAGCAGGGCGGATCGGGAGGTTGCAATGCCACCCTCAGTCACGCTCAGGGTAGGGCCGATTGGGGGGTTGGGGCACTGCCCCCTGTCACACTCAAGGCAGGGTCGATGGGGAGGTTGCGGCACCACCCCCTGTCACACACAGAGCAGGGCCCATCAGGGGGTTGGGGAGCTACCCCCGTCACTCACAGAGTAGGGCCGATAGGGGAGTTGGGGCATCGCCCCCTGTCACACACAGAGCAGGGCGGATCAGGGGGTTGGGGTGCTGCCCTCTATCACCCACAGAGCAGGGCCGATCAGGGGGTTGGGGCGCCGCCACTGTCACACTCAGGTCAGGGCCAATGGGGAGGTTATGGCTCTACCCCATCACACAGAGCAGGGCCCATCGGGGGGGGGAGGGGGTTGGGGCGCCGCACCCTGTCACACACAGAGCCGCAGGGCAATCAGGGGGTTGGGGAGCTCCCCCCTGTCACGCTGATCCCGGTGCTGGGAGGCCTCTTGGCTCCGCTGATCCCGGTGCTGGGATTACCCTTTTACTATATAGGATAGAGGCCTGGTGCACGGGTGGGGCTGGCTGGTTTGCCCTGAAGGGTGTCCTGGATCAGGGTGGGGATCCCCACTGGGGTGCCTGGCCAGCCTGGGTGAGGGGATGATGGCTATTTGCAGCTGGTCACACACCCTTCAGGGTGGGGGTCCCCACTGGGGTGCCTGGCCCGCCTGGATGAGGGGATGATGGCTGTTTGCAGCTGGTCACACACCCTTCAGGGTGGGGGTCCCCACTGGTGTGCCTGGCCTGTCTGGGTGAGGGGCTGAGGGCTGTTTTCAGGCTGGCAGGTGACGGAAGCTCCCAACCGCTTCTTTTTTTCTTTTTTTTTTAATTCTGGGCCAGCTTTAGCTCTGAGGCTCCAGCTCTTAGGCCTCCGCTCCTGAAAGCAGGTATCTGGTTTTTTTCGGTTCTATAATCGAAACAATGTATAACTCCAGCTCTGAGATCCCGGCTCGCTGAAAACAGGTTTCTGGGGTTTTGTTTAGCTTCTATATTTGTTACAATGTTTCTTAAACTGCAAGCTGAGAGGCCGGCAAGGCAGGCGGGGAACATGGGAGTCCTCCGTCACTGAAGCAAGCAAGTCTCATGTTCGCTCCCAGCTGCCTGGCTGCCGGCCGCCATCTTGGCTGGCAGTTAATTTGCATATCGCCCTGATTAGCCAATGGGAAGGGTAGCGGTTGTATGCCAATTACCATGTTTCTCTTTTATTAGATAGGATCTTTGAGATATCTTTCAGTTATTGGTTTCTAATTTAATTCTGCTGTAGTCAAAGAACATACTTTGTATGATTTGAAACCTTAAAATTTAATGAGACTTGTTTTATGGCCAAATGGTTTATTTTGGCAAAACTCCTGCATACACGTGAAGATAATGCGTATTACACAGCTGTTGGGTGGAGTGTCCTGAGAATGCCAGTTAGGTGAAGTTGGTTGATGGTGTGATCAAGTCTTCTGTATCCTTACTAATTTTTTAACTACTTGTTTTTCCAGTTATTGAGAGAGAAGTGCTGAAACCTTTAACTATAATTATGGATTTGTCTATTTGTCCTTTCAGTTTGACTAGCATTGCAGCATAAGGTTTGTTTTTTATTTTAACTTTGCAGATGATTCTAATATGCAACCACAGTTAAGCAATGTTGCTCTAAACCAATAATTCTCAAACTTTAACATGCATCAGAATTCCTTAGAGGGCTTATTAAAACCCAGATTACTAGGCCCTGTTCCCAGAGTTTCTAATTTAGTAAGTCTGGAGGAATTTGCATTTCTCAGAGTTCCCAGGTGATATTGATACTGCTTGGTCCAGAAACCACACTCTAGGACAGTGATGGCAAACCTATGACACGCGTGTCAGAGGTGACACACGAACTCATTTTTTTGGTTGATTTTTCTATGTTAAATGGCATTTAAATATATAAAATAAATATCAAAAATATAAGTCTGTTTTACTATGGTTGCAAATATCAAAAAATTTCTATATGTGACACGGCACCAGAGTTAAGTTAGGGTTTTTCAAAATGCTGACATGCCGAGCTCAAAAGGTTCGCCATCACTGCTCTAGGATCAGCGACTAGAAAGATAAATACCATGTGATTTCACTTAATGTGGAATCTAAAACACAAAATAAATGAACAAACAAAACAGAAACAAACAAATAGGCTCAGAGAACAAATTGGTGGTTGCCAGATGGGAAGGGGTGGGAGGGAATGGATGAAAAAGGGGAAGTGATTAAAATGTACAAATTGCCAGTTATAAAAACAGCCATGAGGATGTAAAGTACAGCATAGGGAATATAGTCAATAATATTATAATAACTATGTATGGTGTCACATGGGTACTAGACTTACCAGAGTTATCAGTTCATAAATTATATAAATGTCTAATCACTGTTATATACCTGAAAGTAATTACAGGTAATTGGGAAATAAAAAAATAATAATTTATAAAGTATCACTGAGTAAGCCAAAGTTTCTTAACCTTGGTTGTATATTAGAATTACCTGAGGGGCTTTTAAAACTATAACACACAAGCTACAAACAGACCAATTAAATTTAGGATCTGCATGGGGAAAGGAGGATCCAGGCATCCTCATCCTTTAAAGCTCTTCTATGTGATTCTCATAAACAGTCAAGATTGAAAATCGCTACTCTATACTAAAGTAATTCTCTGGAGTGTCCAAGAAAGTCTTTGGGGCTCATGACCAACATTTCATCAGTGTCCCCTGAGTAAAAAGCACCGTGCCGTATGAATGATCTAGTGTGCTGGGAGCTCCTCCTTCTACTGCCAACCTAGCAGTTTCCTCTTTTGTAAAATGGAGCCAATATTTCCTGGCCTCTTCCTACCAAATACATTGACTTAAATTATCCAGGTACTCTTTATCCTACCTAATATTTGCAGGAAAATTCATGCATAACAGAGGTATACTCCAAATAAACTTTAACAGCCAGTCCATTAGTAAAGTCATTAATCAAGAATCTTTTAATCTTCCATTAACCCTCCTATTTTCCTTCACTTCATCCTTGGACTTTGACAAAGAGAAACCATTCTGGCAGAAGAATTATGGCAAACAGTGCTTATACTTTGGACTACAGCAATAACACAGCCTTCTACTTTTCTTCTCCTTTTCCTCTTTCTCTCCTCCTCCTCCTTTTAAATTAAAAAAAAAATTTTTTTCCGAGTAATTTTACCCAAACTATAGATTATGTCATTTTTATGATAATCATGTGAGACAGGCAGAACAGGTATTGCTAGCCACCTTTTCAGCTGAGAAAACTAAAGCAGGTAAAGAAAATGCACAAGGAACTGGTATATAACACAGGAAGGAAAAATGCGCCTAAGAGTAGCAAGAACAGATTTCAGACAGCCGCGGAGCCAACTTGGAGCTTTACTAGGATAAGGGCCACCATGGTTAGAAGTGAGTATTTAGAAATGAAGTCATCCAGCCATTTTACAAAAGGGGAACATGGAAGTGAAAAGAGACTAGGGTTTTACAGGAGAACTGAGTTCTGGCCAGATCCCACAGCATTTCAAACTCACATCTGAAAGTATTTCCCCTCCCTCACACATTCCACTACCACCCCCATCTCCTGTGGTGATCTTCTCACCCATTCCACTACCACCCCCATCTCCTGTGGTGATCTTCTCACCCATTCCACTACCACCCCCATCTCCTGTGGTGATCTTCTCACCCATTCCACTACCACCCCATCTCCTGTGGTGATCATCTCAATAAATGGCCTAGGGCAGGATCCTGGGACTCATCCCTCCTCTCCTCCATCTCCAAGTCCTCTCAGTTACAAAATTCTGCTACAAATCTTTCAGATCCATCTCTTCCTCCCCATTTCTTCTGCCACTGTCTCAGGGCAGGCCCTCACAATGCCTGGCCTGGGTTAGGTTACTACAGTTGTATAACAGGTCTCTGGGCCTCTTTCAACTTTGCTTTTCAGAACATCTGCCACTTCACCTGCCACCCCGAGAGCTTTGGAAAACCCGAAATGGTCTGTCATGCTCTACTTACTATTCATTTACTCTCCACCATCAAGTGGGTGAAGTCTAAAGTCCCAAGCAAACCATCCAATCTTTTTCTGATTTGGTCTCTGCCTTCTTCTCTCACTTCATCGTTCACCACTCATAACTTCAGCCAAGCTCAAGTTTTGCAGTTCTTCCACTGTCAGCTTTGGCTTTGACACTTTCTGAAAGTCTCCCCCTTCCCCTGCCCATTGACTGGCTAAAATTAACCCACCCATCTAGGCTCGGCTTAAGCTGGAATTTTTCCTAGCACCCCTTTTACAGGTTCCTTTGATACTCCCAAAGCATCTCATGCAAATAAAAAGCAGAGTCATGATCTGTGTCCCTCACTAAACTGAGCTGTGCAATAGCAGGGAGAGCATCCTATTCAGTGTTTGGTATTGAATATTCATCCAATAAATATTTGAGGACCTACTTTATGCCCAATGTGCAGCTGTAAGAGATATAGCAGTGAAAAATGCAAAGACACTTTTTTATTTTGCAAAGACACTTCTTGCTATCCATTGGGAGGTGACATAATAAATGAACAAATACATAAGCAAGAGAATATGAGTGAAACTACTATGTAGAGAATTAAATCAGATATGAAAGTGGGTGGCTACCTTAGCTTAGTATGTCAGGAAGTTCCCTTTGGGAAAGTGACACCAGTTGGCAAGTGCGCCAGGTATTCTGAGAGAACCAAGGGCATCCCGGTGGCAAACGTGGGCGAGGAGTGAATGTGGGATCAAAGAAGGCAGGGACTGTATGTAAACGTTGTCTAGGGCTTTGATTTCTCCCCAAGTGTGATGCGGGGTGACCTGAGCTGACTTACACTTTCAAAGAGGCCTCTTTTTCAAGGGGCAGCTATTTAGATGGTGGGCTGTCGGGAACGGAAACAGAGCCCAGTTTGGAGGAGAGAGGTAGTGTCCTGGCGAAGGTGGGCGCAGCGGTTCTGGAGAAAGCGCACGGACTTGGAACCCGTGTGTGCCGGCGGCCAGGACCTGCTGGTGGAGCCACAGGTTCGGGCTCAGGGCACCTGGACAGAGACGGGGGCACAGAGCAGCGCCGGGCGACTTCTGGGAGGAGGAGGATCTCGGAAAGTCCCTGGCGTTCCCGGACGCCGGGGAGAGTCCAGGTCGGGCGTCTGGCAGGAGACACGCCCAGCCCCGCCGGCGGCAGGGAGAGCGGGGCCGGCGGCGCGCGCGGACTCCGGGCTCCACGTGCTCCGCGCGGGGGTTTCCGCGTCCTCCGGGCGTGGCCGGAAAAGGAAGTCGGCGCTACAGCGGCCGCCCCAGCAACAGCGGCGGCCCGGGCCAAGCCCCGCCACCCGCCCGGTCCGGCTCGGCTTCGGAGGCAGCGCCGCGGGACCCCGAGCCTGCCCCGCCGAGCAGCGCCCGCCGCGCCGCCGGGCGCCCAGCACGCCAATGGGGCCGCAGCGCCCGCCGCTCCGCGCCGTGGCCGCCCTGCTCTGGGGCGTCCTGCTCCGGCTGGTAAGGGGGGCGGGCGGCGGGCGGGCCTCCCGGGGCGGGGCTGGGCCCGGCTCCTTCCCCCTCCCCCCGACCCGGCCCGACCTCTCGGCGGCCTGCTCCGCTTCTCCCCCGTCGTTCCCTCCCCTTCCCGGCACTCCCCGTCCTTCCAGCCACCGCTTCACCTTCCCCCTCCACCCTCCCGCCCCCCGCTCCCGTCCTGGGAAGCCCTGGAAGTGCCAACCCCAAGAAAGCCCCTGGTGCCACCTTGACCTTGGTGCCTCTCATAGGTTTCTGGGCGTTTTTAATCGGCCTCTGAGATTTACCGTCTAGCCTTTCTTACCGCCGCTGCTTAGCCTCCTTCCTCCTCGGGAAGAAGGGGAAAAGGATGCCCACGGTCCCAGGAAGGTCAGCCGTGGTTCCAGGACTGCGCTTGAGTTTCATTGCTCTGATCGGTGTTTTGTTTTGTTTTTTGTTTTGTTTTTCCTTCCGCTGTAGTTCCTTCCTCGCCCTAGGGTTCCTTTGATTCCATTCTGGGAGGTTTTGGTAATAATTTAAAATAACTTTAAAAAGAACATATGAAAGTGGTTTCTAGTTCTCTGCCCACTTGAAAGGGCAGAGAACTAGTTTGTTTTCATACTTAACAGGAAAGTGGTCATGTTTTAAAATTCAGTATCAAACAACGAGCTTCTGTGGGTGGTCAGGAGCCTGTGTCCCGTGGTTCGGTTTTTGTTCCTTGTCGATTTCACTTAGGGAGTTTCACGTTGGAAACTTTTCGGAGCTTTATTTACACGGAATTTGTAGGATGTATGCCTGTCTAGTTCTTACCATTAGAATGTGCAGCTTCTTTGAAAGAGTGTATTTTGCGTATTCTGCACTTTAAAGGATCACTATTAGTGACTATATTCAATATGGAAGTGGCTTTAACATTTATTAAGAAACCAAAAGCAAAACCTAAAGTGGATGCGTGCCTTTGGTGTATTCATAGTTTGCTAGGCAACATTAGCAACATGAAGAGGTAATGAATCTAAACATTGTTTGTGGAGGGAGTACAATATAAGCAAAACAACAAAGTAACAGTGTTAGACTGAACCTTTCAGGGGTTTTGTAATCAGATATGTCCAAAAGGTAACAATTGAGGTAGTATATAAATGCACATAAAACCATAACCTAGATGTAAAACGTGTCTGAGTGGTTTTGCACTCATTGTCATTTGAACTTCTTAAGCTAATTGTAGGAATATATCTTATATATCACATTCTCACTAATCCTTTCTCAACACAAATTAATAACTAACCTAATAATACATCAATTGCTCATAAACTCACATTGAAATTCTTTTTTTAACATTTTATTTTATAGTATAATGTTCAGTAAATAAGCAAGATGAAATTCTTATAAAAGCTCTGAGCCCTGGCCGGTGTGCTCAGTGGTTAGAGCATCTGCCCATCCATTGAAGGGTCTTGGGTTCATTCCCTGTCAAGGCAGGTACCTGGGTTGCAGGTTGGATCCTGGCCCATGTCTGGGTGTTTGTGGGAGGCAACCAATCCATGTGTCTCTTTCACATTGATGTTTCTCTCTCTCTCTCTCTCTCTCTCTCTCTCTCTCTCTCTCTCTTTCTCTCTTTCTCTCTTTCTCTCTTTCTCTTTCTTGTTCCTCCCTCCTCCATTCTCCCCCTCTCCCTTCCAGTCTCTCTAAAATCAGTGGGAAAAATAACCTTGGGTGAGGAGGATTCACAAAAAAAACAAAACAAAAAGCTCTGAACCCTCTCAATAGAAAAATGTAAGCAGACTTTTCCATATAATTTTAAGGGATTACCAAATTTAAAGGTTGTCCTTGCTCTACATTGTAGCTAGCCTATCACTTCCACATTCTAGTTTTGTTTTTTTTAGTATATTTTTATTGATTTTTTACGGAGAGGAAGGGAGAAGGATAGAGAGTTAGAAACATCGGTGAGAGAGAAACATCGATCAGCTGCCTCCTGCACACTCCCTACTGGGGATGTGCCCACAACCAAGGTACATGCCCTTGACCGGAATCGAACCTGGGACCCTTGAGTCCGAAGGCCGACGCTCTATCCACTGAGCCAAACCGGTTAGGGCCCACATTCTAGTTTTTATTCTTTTTTATTGCGCATGTATATTTTGTTATATCTTGTTGTATTAATCTTGGGTTCTGAACTCAGTCTCAGGGTTGTGTGAACTGTGGGAAGAACAAAGTTCCTTTTATCTCCAAGGTTCTTTGGTTTAATAATCAAATAGGCATGAGGCAGATTAGCAAGAGAAAATAACCAACTGTAATGCATACATATGTATGGAACTCCCCATGCACAGTAAATTCAGAGACAGAAAAGGAAAATGTGTGACCTGTGTGACTCAGAGGTTAGAGCATGCACTGAAGGGTCCAGGGTTCAATTCCCAGTCAGGGCACATACCCAGGTTGTGGGTTCAATCCTCAGTTGGGGTGTGAATGGGAGGCAACTAATTGGTGTTTCTCAATCACATCGATATTTCTCTCTCTCCCTCTCCCTTTTTCTGTCTCTAGAATCAATGTAAAGCATATCCTCCAGTGAGGATTGAAAAAAAAAGAGGCATTCTGAGTTAGGGATGAGGTACTGTCACTTGGAGGCTTCAAAGAAGCATAGCAGGATGATAAGAAAAGCAGATGTTTAGTAAATAGAAGTTCCTGTTATCTGTGATGATCTCCCATTATGGGCAAGACCCCTAATTGAAGTTCTTCCAGGTAGGCAAGAGAGGGGTAGAAGTTTCTCCTGGCCTACAGGTAAAATTACCCTTAGCTCAAAACAATCCACATAACACAGAGGCACATCTTGGGGGGGGGGACTAACTCTGAACCCATAGAACCCAGTAACATTCTTTCACTGCACAAATATTTAGTATCTGTTATATGCCAGGCACTGTGCTGGTGACTGAATAAACTGACAAGAACTTTTTCAATTGTAAAGATCTTTTTCAGTGCCAATCAGTATTATTGGTTTTCTATTTCCTGTTGCTTTCTCAATGGTTTCTTTTCCTCTTGTCTCTTCCTTTAATTTCCTGAAATGATCTAAATTCTCATTCCTTGTTTGAGGAACTCAAATAAATCTAGTACCCTTTTCCTCAGCCAGAGCCCTCCCTCTCTCCCTTCTGCTTACTTACTGGATACCTAGTTCCTTCCCTACAACACTCTCTAGTACTAGTTGTTTGTTTTGTTTCTTACCATTTTCTCTCTGAAGCCCTTGCTTATTCCTCTTCCCCCAGAATTCAGCCCCAGGTGGCCTCTCTGAGTTCATTTGCATTAATGGCGCCAGCTTAATCATTTCATTTCTCCTTTCTGGGCTCTTGACCTGGCACCGCTGGGCATCTTTCCCCTGAGTCATGCAGGAACATCCTCACCTAGAGGCAGCGCTCCAGAAACTGCTGCTGCGTTCTTGTCGAAGAGGCAGAGAACTTAAGGGCTTACCGAATTTAAAGGCTGCCCTTGCTGTAAATTGCACTTAGCCTACTACCCCCACAGTCTTGTTTTTATTCTTTTTTATTGCGCATGTATATTTTGTTATATCTTGCTGTATTAATCTTGGGTTCTGAACTCCTCAGTCCCAGGGTTGTGTGGACTGTGGGAGGAACAAAGTTTCCTTTATCTCCAAGGTTCTTTGGTCTAATAATCAAATAGGCAAGAGGCAGATTAGCAAGAGAAAATAACCAACTTTAATGCATACATATGTATGGGAATCCCACATGCACAGTAAATTCAGAGATGGAAAAGGAAAATCCTATATAATAAAAGCCTAATATGCTAAGTGTCAGACCATTCATTTGACTGTTCGACCAGTTGCTATGACATGCACTGACCACCAGGGGGCAGACGCTCTGACTGGTAGGTTAGCTAGCTACTGGGGTCCAGCCAATCCGGACTGGGCTAAATGGGCTGGACATGCCCTAGAGCCCTCCTGCGGTCCTTCCCTGGCCTGATCGTGCACCAGTGGGGTCCCTCAGCCTAGTGGGGATCTGGCGGAAACCGGCACTCTGACATCCCTCAAGGGGTTCCAGAGTTCGAGAGGGCACAGGCTCGGCCGAGGGACCCAAAGCATTCTGCTTTGACTTGTAGAATTTAGCATTGGAAAGACCCTTCACATCACGTAGCCTCCTCATCTTGTCTTCTTCAAAACAATGACCTCATTTTGTATATTGAAATCAAGCTACTGCACATCCAGCTATTTTAATGAATTCGAAACCCATTAACCATAAGTCTAGAATTAAAAAGAGTGCCTTGTAGACAGTTGATTCTTTCTTGGCCTTGCCATTTTCCATTTCACACTCATCTTTCTCCAGTGCAACCCAACTCCCAGCCCCAACGTTTTGACCTTTCTTTCATAGTGTTACTTGGACACAGTCACAATAGTTCTGTTTCAGAGAGAATGAATGAAGTTTTTAGCCTGGATCAGTTTTCTAAAATTGCTTCAAACTTCTCTAAAGAATCCTGAGTCTTCTTTAAAATGTTCTGTTCATTTGTTTATATCTTCAGAGATTTTAAAGTGTTATATAGCCACATCTTGAACTTATTGAAATGAAGTGATAATCAGGATCCCCAGCAGAAAAATCTCTTGCCGAAATTTGCATTCCTTTGGTATATTACACCAATTCAAAGCATCTTCTTTAATTCCTTCTCCTCTGCCCTCTTTCAGCCTCCTGGGGACCTAGGTGTGTTCTGCTGCCCAGGCTATCCTATCGGAGCTGCTGTGCTATGGTCTGAACTGTGGCCCCTCCCCAATCCATGTTAAAGCCCTAACCCCCCCCCATGTGATGGTATTTGGAGATAATAGATTTCTATGAGGTCAGAGGGTAGTTCCCTTGGGACCTTATAAAAACAAAAAAAGACACCAGAGAGCTTGCTGTCTGTTCCTCCCCCCGCCTCTCCTCCCTTCAACTCCCCTCTCCCCCACCACCATGTGAAGACACAGTGAGCAGATGGCAGTCTGTACAGGCCAGAAGGAAAGCTCTCCATGGAAGCCAACCATGCTGGCACCTTTATCTTGGACTTCTAGTCTCTAGAACTGTGAGAAAATAAATTTCTGTGTAAGCAACCCACTCAGTGATATTTTGTTATGGCAACCCAAGCTGACTAAGACAGATTTTGGTACCAGAACCGGGGTGCTATTGTAACAAATGCCGAAACATGTGGAAGCGGCTTTATATCTGGGTAATGGGAGGAGGATAGAAGAGACTTGGGGTGCCTGCTTGAAATGTAGACCCTAAGGGCGGTTCTGGTGAGATGTGTGACAGAAATGAGGAACAAACATGTCATTGGAAACTGCAGGAAAGGAAATCCTTGTTAAAATGGCAAAGAACTTGGCTGAACTGTGTTCTAGTGTTGTGTGGAAGGAAGAATTGTGAACAATGAGATTAGATACCAGCTGAGGAGATTTCTAAGCAAAGTGTTCATGGAGCAGCTTGGTTCCTCTTGACTGCAAAAGGAGAGAGAGGAATTGAAGAAGGAATTGTTAAGAAAAAGGAACCAGTGTAAAACTTCAGACAATAAAAAAATAGAAAATAATAAAAGGTAAATGATTCAGGGAAAAGAAAAAGGAACCAGAATTTGAAGACTTGAAAATTCCCAGCCTATCCGCATTGCAAAATATAAGAAAGCTTCTGAGAAGAACAGGGTGTAGCTGAACAACCACTTGATTACAAATTAGTGGGATTATCTGAGCAGAAACACTGCCACTTTGGACTGAAGGAGCTAGAGATGGTGCAAAATGAAGAAAGGTTGTTGGACTTCCTGGATTTGACAGGATGGGATGATGGAGCTATGTGGCTGTAAACTTGCATTATTCTCCAGAAAGAGGGAGAAATGATCCCAAAGGCGATTCAGGGGTCATCAGGGTGACTGCCTCTGTTTCAACAAGCCTTAGGCATCTGCTGGGACCCCTGGGAGCGGGACTCCGCAAAGCCAAAGCAGTGGGGCCATCCCCAGAGTCACGGGGGTGATGCTGCCACCCCATTGGGTCTGAAAGATGGGGATGTTGAGCCAAAAAGGATTATTTTTGAGCCTTAAGATCTAAAGGAATTTGTATTGCTGGGTTTTAGACTTCCTTGTGTCCCATCACCCAGTTCTTTATTCCAGTTTCTCCCTTTTGTAATGGGAATGTCTATCCAAATGCCTGCCCACCCTTGTATTTTGAAAGCACATAGCTTATCTGGTTTCACAGGTTCACATCCAGAGAGGGATTTTGCCTCAAGATGAATTATAGCTTGAGTCTTACCATATCTGGTGTAGATATTTAGATTGAGACTTCAGAATGAGTTAGGACTTTAGGGGCTGTTAGGGTAGAATGAATGTATTTTACATGTGAGAAGGACATGAATTTGGGGGGCTAGAGGCAGATGCTATGGACTGCTTGTGTGCTCCCAAATTCTTGAGTTGAAGTCCTAACCCCCAATGTAATGGTATTTGGAGATTGGGCCATTCGAATGAGATCGTCTGGGCGGGGCCCTTACCATGATTATTGCCTTGCTCTCCCCTCCCCGCCCCCCCCCCCTCCACCATGTGAGGACATAGTGAGAAGGCAGCCATCTACAAGCTAGAAAGAGCCCTTATTGAAATCAACCATGTTAGTACCTTGCTCTTGAATTTTTAGGTTCTGAACTATGAGAAAATAAATTTGTGTTGATAAAGCCACCCAATTTGTAGTATTTTGTTATGGTACCCTGAGCTTAGACATGCTGGTTTTGTCACATTCCTCCTTTAACTTTGAGATTTTCTGCAGTTTTTTTTGTGTGTGTTTTTTTTAACCTTCTCTCTTCTGAGTTATCTCTGTGAATTCTGCATCTCATTCATTGTCTGCTTTCTAAGTCACTGAGAGCTGTGTATCTTCTTCCCAAAATGCAACTCTTCCATATACATCTCCTTTTAAACTCAAACCTTAAAGATTCAGGAAGGTTATGATCTCCTAGATTACATAGAAAGTTAAGAAAAAGAAGACTAGAACCAAGGGATTTTAGGTATTTCTTGATATTTTTTTCACTAAATTCTGTAATAATTATTTTTTTGTGAATGCAAAATAAATCACAAGTCTGGATAAATTTGTGAAGTTACTCATAAGAAAAGGTTTAAAGATAGGAGAAGTCATGTTTATTGTATATTTGATCATTTTTTTGTTGTTGTTAAAAATCACCTGAAATTGGTTCTGTTTAAAAAAAAACCTAGACCATAAAGTCTCCAGGCTTAGGACTTTACTCCAAGATACTATTAAGAAAAAAAAATTTTTTTATTGTGTTAGGCCAGAATTTGCCAAACTTAACCATGCCTTACGTGTTAAATCAACTCTGATTTGTGCATTTATATTGCCTGCTTAGCCTTTTAAGCATTTGAGTTTGTGAATTCTGGTGTAATTCATAAATTCTCTAACATCTGAGATACATCATTAAGTAGTAAGATTACTTAGGAAAAACCAGGAAGAAGTCTGGATCTACATAGCAAGTAGAAGATAAGCCCCATGAAGGAGAAATCCTGACTCATTCTCTACTGTCTCCCCTACTACCTTGCAGACTGCAGAGTGTTGAATGAATGCATGGTCTCCTCTCCCAAACCTAGTACCTCTTAGCCTGTATATTACATGTCCCCAGATTCTCCAAGTGCAAGGAATGATTCTGGCTCTACTTTTTCCCTAACCCACAGACTCCTTGGATTCCCTGTAAATCCCTATTTGATGCCCTAGCACCGATACAGGGTTGGGAGTAGTATGTTAGGTAAACTTTTAGCTAGAGAATTGTTATTTTCGAAAGGAATATAGAAAATAGATCCAGTGCTGGAAGATACCTTTTGAAGGGAAAGATGGGTAGAAGACAAAAAATCAAACCTGTTAACCAAGGTCAAAGAAGAATCTTCGAACTGTGCTGTTAGCTTGAACAGTAGAACAGGCCTGTTCCCAGTAAGTTAATATTGGGCTGGTGAGTCAGCATCAAGAGACTGTTGGAACAGAGGCCAGGAATTCAAATGCCTGTGGTTGGAACTGCCAAGTGACAGGAGTGTAAAGCATGGACATAGCCCCAAGAGGCAGGGATGTGAAGGTTAGAGCAAAATTGACTCAGTGTAAGTATGCTTATTTAAAAAAGTCCTTAGACATGTGCCTCTTTAAGTTCTGATTGGTCTGGGAAAATGAGGAGATAGTAGACCTGCAAGCATGTGAATATGGTATCCACCACTATAGTTCTTTTTTATTATTTATTTATTTTTTAAAAAAATATATTTTATTGATTTTTTACAGAGAGGAAGGGAGAGGGATAGAGAGTTAGAAACATCGATGAGAGATAAACATCGATCAGCTGCCTCCTGCACATCTCCTACTGGGGATGTGCCCGCAACCCAGGTACATGCCCTTGCCTGGAATCGAACCTGGGACCTTTCGGTCCTCAGGCTGACGCTCTATCCACTGAGCCAAACCAGTCAGGCAACCACTATAGTTCTTTTTTAGATTTTGGTAATCGTTTGACACTTGTCATACCAAAAGCTATTTGGAGAAAGATGGTCAAAGGAAGAGGCAACTATAACATTAAGCTAGACTTAAACATCAATACTCTTTGATTTGAAAAGAAGATGATGGGATATGATTGAAGTCAAGTGATCTGAGTAAGTAAATTAGGAATTGTTCACGAACAATAGGCATCCCATGAAATTTTATATGAGGTGAATTGAGTCAAAAAAGGAAGGACTACTTTATACTATGAGCTAGTTTACTTACTTCCCTTGAAAGTGAGGGTCAAGTGAAATGCAGGAAATAAAGGCACTGGTGTGAGGTTGATGATTTGATGGCCCTAGAGAACACTTGATTCTATGACCAGTGGTTGTAGGAACTGGTGTGAAGAGGGAGGATTTGGGGCAAGCAGTAAGGAGCAGATAAGGGGGGGGACGGGGGACTTTATACCTTTCTGTTCTGCTTGAATGCTTTTTTTTTCTTTTTTAAGTTTATCTTTCCAGTCTTTTTACACCCTCACTTTTGCTTTTGTTTTCCTCTCACTCTGTTTTGTTGGTTTGTTTGTATTTTAAATAGTCTGGTGTGTCTCTCTCCACATCCTTCTTCAAGCTCACATCTATCTATCTATCTATCTATCTATCTATCTATCTATCTAAAAGCCTAAGTGACCATTCGACCGGTAGCTATGACACACACTGACCACCAGGGGGCAGATGCTCAATGCACAGGCATGGGAACATGGAACAGACTGATGAATCTCAGAGGGAAGGGGGGAGGGTGGGAAGAAATTAACCAAAGATCTTTTTTTTTTTTAAAGACCATGGTTTCTTTATTTTTAATTTTTTTCAATATATTTTATTGATTTCAAAGAGGAAGGGAGAGGGAAAGAGAGATAGAAACATCAATGATGAGAAAGAACCATTGATCGGCTGTCTCCTACACACCCACTATTGGGGATCAAGCCCACAACCCGGGCATGTGCCCTTGACTGGAATCAAACCTGGGACCTTTCAATCCACAGGCCAACACTCTATCCATTGAGCCAAACCAGCTAGAGCTAACCAAAGATCTTATATGCATACTAGAGGCCTGCGGGGATCGGGCCAAAACCAAACCAGTGCACAGATTTGTGCACCATTGGGGTCCCTCGGCCTGGCCTGCAGGGATCAGGCCAAAACCAGCTCTCCAACATCCCCCGAGGGGTCCCAGATTGCGAGAGGGCTCCAGCGAGGCTGAGGGACCCCATGGGTGCATGAATGCGTGCACCGGGTCTTTAGTAAATATCTATAAGGAGCCTGGGGGGAGGGGTGGGTCATTACTTTCATAAAAATAGGATTACACTACAAGTATCTCCCTGGAATTTGCTGTTTTCACTATGGACATCTGTTTCTACAGAAAGATCTAGTTTTTTCTTTTTAATAGCTGTGTACTATGATGGGCTCCTTATCAGTGGAAGTTGCTGATTTTTTTTTTTTTAAATATATTTTATTGATTTTTTTACAGAGAGGAAGGGAGAGAGATAGAGAGTTAGAAACATCGATGAGAGAGAAACATCAATCAGCTGCCTCCTGCACACCCCCCACTAGGGATGTGCCCGCAACCCAGGTACATGCCCTTGACCGGAATTGAACCGGGGACCCTTCAGTCCGCAGGCCGATGCTCTATCCACTGAGCCAAACCGGTTTCGGCTGATTTTTTTTTTTATAACAAATACTGCCGTGAATATCCTTATACATTTATCTTTGTGCATTTGCATAACACACCTGTAGGATATGAATCAGAGGATTCTATGTATTGAAATTTTTGCTTGATACTACCAGTTGTTTATTATAAAGGCTATACCATTTCAACAGCCATCCTATATAATAAAGAGCTAATATGCAAATGGTTGTCACGCCCTCACGCCGGGGCTAGGGGACCTGAGGCTAGGCCAGGGGACTTGAGGCTGCGCCCCCCGCCCGGCAGGGCTTGACGGGGGACCTGAGGCTGCACCCCCCACCTGGTGGGGCTTGACGGGGGACCTGCACCTCCTGCCCTGCGGGGTTTGACAGGGGTAGGGCTGGCCAGGTCTGGGTCTCGTGCGATTTCGAGGCATGTGTGGATGGGCTGGGACTTGACTCTGCATCCCACAGCACGCCCCAGATTCTGGCAGGAGGGAGATTTTCATATACATTTTACTAATTTTCTTTCATCTCTGACACTTTTATTATAAAGGGCAAATAGCAATATTAAAATACTTCCTCTAATTCCCTTTTAATGTTCACGAATTTCGTGCACCGGACCACTAGTGTGCACAATAACGGAAGTCCTGATCTAAATATTGTTCCTCTCCTAAAGGACCTTAGTAGAATGGCTGGCTCCAGATCTGTGGCAGGTAAAGGATAAAGCCAGCCTAGGACATCTTGTGCCAAAAAACATGGAAGTCCTCCAAGACTAATGAAGTCCTGTCAAAAGGATACAAAGAACCAGCTGGAAGAGTTTCTACTGGCCAAATTTGGGACAATTTGATCAGCAAAATGCATAATTGTAATTACATTACATTGGATTTTTTAAGAAAAATCCAATGAGTCTTGCCCAGTTGGCATGGCTCAGTGGTTCAGTGTCGACCTATGAACCAGGAGGTCATAGTTCCATTCCCCTTCAGGGCACATGCCTGGATTGTGGGCTTGTTCCCCAGTGGGGGGTGTGCAGGAGGTAGCCAATCAATGATTCTCTCTCATCATTGATGTTTTTCTCTCTCCCCTTTCTTCCTCTCTGAAATCAATAAAAAACTATTTTTTTAATAAGAAATTGAGTATGATACTAAACAAAAGATGGTAGAGGGAGAGAGTAAAACATTTTTAAAGAATAAATGTAGAAGGAATGACAGTATTTTTAAAAAAATTACTGCCTGGCCAGTGTGGCTCAGTAGTTGAGTGTCCACCCAAGAGGTCACCTGTTTGATTCCTAGTCAGGGCACATGCCTGGGCTTCAGGCACGATCCCCAGCAAGGAGCATGCAGGAGGCAGCCGTTCGGTGTTGCTGTTTCTCTATCATCAGTGTTTCTGTCTCCCTCTCCCTTCCTGTCTCTAAAAATCAATAAAAACATATTTTAAAAATTTACTGTTTCGTAATACCCAACATAATATGTAAAATAAATTTCAGGCATGGATGCTCATGGAAGCTGAAACACGAGGTGAAAGATCGTCGATCTGTTCCTATGGTGCGACAGATTCCTTACCCATCACAAAGGGAAAATATGTAACTTTACACCAGAAAAATCCTGCAGCTGCTGGTAATCAAGTAATTAAACTCGGCAGCAAGAGTAGAGGGGCATCCTGACAGCATGTGCCGTTTTTTAAAAGAATATCTTTTTATTGATTTCAGAGAGGAAGGTAGAAGGAGAGAGAGAGAGAATCATTGATCCGCTGCCTCCTGCACATTCCCACACTGAGGATCCAGCCCGCAACATGGGCATGTGCCCTGGCTGGAAATTGAACCGTGATCTCCTGGTTCATAGATGAATGCTCAGTCACCGAGCCACGCCAGCTGGGCTCATGTGCCATTTTATTGGATGCCATAAGTACCCAGTTCACCTATAGAGTATTCTTTTTAAAAAATCTGTAATCTAAACCTAATCCACCCTCATAATTACCCGCAGGATTACCTTCTGTAGTTAGAATTGGGGATGATTCTACCATATGACCTTAGTTAGGCTATGTTCATAACTTCTCTGAGTCTCAAAGCCCTCATTTGTAAAACAGTGGTACTGAATCGGACAAATGCATGAAAATAACCTAAATATACTTTGTTTCATTTGTACAGTTTGTTTATAACAAAAATAATTTGGTGTATAGTAAGAATCTAACATATTGATTCATCTCTGCTGTCAGAATCCATTCATGGCCACCATATATATAGCCAAATGAAAACTACATTTATTTTTTCACAAATAATATCTTTAATTATTCTATGTAATTTGATGGCATTTTAGAAGAATTCGCTATACTGGCTTAGATCCGTAAGCTAACGAAGTCCCTATGCCAGAAAGCTTTCTAATCCCAAATGTTCCAGGGAAATTTTAGGTAGGAGAGCATGGGTTAGAGCATTTTGTACTCATTAAAAATTTAGATTGTCTTACATGAAATTGCCAATTTTATAGAACAAAATGTTCAATTATCAGCAATGTGATGTGGCTCAACCTAATGCATGCTTTGGTAGAGGCTTAGTCCATCATCTTCATTTGCCAAGCAATCTTTTTTCTCCCTTATGTTTTAGAGAAAGATTTGTTCAAAGGAGGAGGAAAGTGGAATTTGAATTGATCCAAGTTTAAAGGGAATCGTGATGTGGAGTGGTATTCTAATTATCTTGGGATGTTTCATCATTTCATACTCTCCACTCTCACCCTCATGTATAATACTTATTCTTTTCAGTCACTTCTTACGTCTTGTCTCCTTTTTTCTTTTTTCTTTTTCCCAGATAGTGGGAAATGAGGCAAAAGGAAATAACATTTTTCTAGCTCTTTTCCCTCACTTTAAACTCTGGATTGCTCTTTTTGAATAGGCAGTTGCAGAATCTTGAAAACTTGAGAGTTCTTTGGTTCTTTTCTGAAAATAGCACTTAGAAATAATGTTCTTTTAAAAAAATCTTAGTTATTCATACTATGGAAGGTACAAGTGGGTTAACGGAGTTCACATGGATTTTCTGTTACAGAACATAAATAATGAAGTAACAACTCCCAAAGGGGTTTGGAAGGAAAGTTTCAGGCAGTGAAGGGAGTTCCGAAATTATCACAGCACAGCAAGAATCCTCCCTGGGATATGGCTCTTACAACAAGGGCCATAACAATATCCCCATAAGAAAGTGACTTTCTCAAAGAATGTGTTCTAGGCAAATGTGTATAGTTTCAGTGTTTTTTCAAACAAGAAAAAGTAAAATCACTAGAAGACCTTCCCTCTTAAGGAAATGTGGTCCAACCTAGATATAAATAGCTTTATTAAAATCCTTAGTTGTTGGCAGAGCCAAATCATCGCTAGTGTGAAAATTATTGTTCATGTCCCAGACAGCTGCTCAGGAAGCAATCCTGCATGCGTCTGGAATTGGCACGCCTTCACCATCTAAGGACTACTGCATGTTCTATAACCCTCATTGGACAGCTTTGCCAAGAACCCTAGAAAATGCAGTAAGTACATCACAGTTACTATTTCTTTGTAAACAAAAATATTGAAAGGTGAAAATGAGTGATTATTATTTTCAGTGTATGAACTAGTTGTAATATGTGATTAATAAATAGTAATTGTTTTATTGCTTTAGCTTAAATATTTTTCTCTCTGTGGGAGAAACAAGTTAGGGAATTTTAAAATATTTCAAAGCCTGATCAGCATGATTTAAAGGAACATTATATTAAATCAATAGATACTTTGTCACTAAATGCATTTAGGGTGAAATACGATATTTACCATGCTAACATTCTTCTTTTCAGACTTCCATTAGTTTGAAGAATCTAACTTCCACACCTCTGTGCAACATTTCTGATATTCCTTCTGATGGAATAAAGAACAAAGCAGTTGTGGTTCAGTGGGGAACCTGCCATTTTCTTGAAAAAGCCAGAATTGCACAAACCGGAGGTGCTGAAGCATTGTTGGTTGCCAATAACAGTGTCTTCGTAAGTTATAAAACTACTAGAGGCCCAGTGCACGGAATTTGTGCTGGGGGCGGGGCGGGTGTCTCAGCCCAGCCTATACCCTCTTGCAATCCAGGACCGCTGGCCTGCCTGATCACCCCTGACCACTCTGCCTGCCTGCCTGATCGCCCCTAACCACTTGCCTGCCTGCCTGATCACTCCTAACTGCTCGCCTGCCTACTTCATCGCCCCTAACCGCCTCGGCCTTGGCCCCCGCCACCATGGCTTCATCCAGACTGATGTCTGGAAGGTTGTTTGGCTGTCCAGTCTAATTAGCATATTATGCTTTTATTATTATCGATAATAATTTCTTTTGAGCTCACGATATCAAATTTCACAGGTTGAACTATCTTCTGTGTGTGTGGTTTAGGAGCGGAGTTTTGAATAATCTAATAGGATTATTTTTAAATAAACATTCTGGTTATGATAGGCATTTAATTGGAATATTTTGTAGTTTCTTTTCTATTCCTAAAGTAGACAAGACTTTTTAGGAACAAGTATGTATAGTTTGTGTGTGAGAGTTACATATATATGATATACCTGTATATATCAGTTTGAGAACTCTTGCTATAATATTAAGAACACTTGAAACTTTGTTTTATAACTTGATAAAGATGTGATATTCTATTGGAATAATTTGGATTTTATTCTGTAAATATGTTAGTAGTTCATACGTTTTCATAATATGTGTGTGTGTTTTTCTTTTAGTTTGCTCCCTCGGGGAACAAATCTGAATTTCATGATATGAAAATACTGATTGCATTTATAAACAACAAAGACTTCAAAGATATGAAGCAGGTAAACTAGTAATTACATACTAGACAATGTTCATACCTAGTACACTCTTTACTTTTAACCACTGATATTTAACTTAAATGATTATACATGCTACACTTGGTAACAAGAAGCTGTGAAGGCCTACCAAGTCTTTACTTGGGAAGTACTCACCTCCCATTTAGCACAAGGTGTTTCTGAGCTCTGACTTCAGAAAAGATATTGATTTGTTTTGACTTTTTTGAAACCTCTGATTGTATGGAATACTGCAGTTTCAAGACTTAATAAACCAAAATGTAGCCTCCTAATTTTGACAAGAGAATATGTCATATTGTCAAAACTAGTTCTAGTATTCTTGACTGCCTGACGCAGTGTCCATTCCAGAGCAAAATTGGAGTGCTACAGCCATACTCTGTAGTGGGAAGAAAACTAACACTGGTGTTTTAACTCTCATTTTTTGCCTTTCAGACTCTTGGAGATAACATTACTGTGAAAATGTATTCTCCGTCATGGTCTAACTTTGACTATACTATGGTGGTTATTTTTGTAATTTCTGTGTTCACTGTGGCATTAGGAGGATACTGGAGTGGACTACTTGAATTGTAAGTTTAATTAAACTTCAGTGTTTTTTGTGATAAATGGCTAAAAATTATTACTTGAAATTATTTTAATCATATAACAACATTTAAATTCCACCTCAGAAAATGGTGTGGTTAAGATCAGATTGCAGTTTGTTCTCATACAGGTCATTCGCCTTATCACTGAGAAGGGGGTCATAGGTTCCTCTAATTCTTCAGCTGGCAGGGAAACACTGACATTCTGTCAAAGACTCTTCAATTAAGATGTTCAGTGATGTCTCCCAGGAAGGTGAAGATACTTAGTTCCCTAATATGCCTGTTTATTTAGATTGGAAGACAATAAGTAAGAGAAGGTGAGGGGTTTCCCAGCTCCTTTTAAGTTAAGTCAATACAGTGTGACCTCATCATTCTGTTCTTTAGGGAGAATATTAAACATGTCCATATTTTAATTTAAATGTAGAAATTTCAAATATACATAAATTTGGATTTCCCTATTTAATAACAACCTAAACCCAATCTTACAGTTATGTACCTTTGGCTCTAGATTAAAGTAGGCAACATAGTAGAGAAAGACCATTTCACACTTATAACTCTGAATTTTAAAAAAGTGCTCAGAGCATATTAATTCATCCATGAAGGACAATATATTCACCTTGTGAATTGATCTCTAGATCAGCGGTCGCCAACCTTTTGGACCTCATGGACCACCAGTGGTCCGCGGACCACTGGTTGGCGACCGCTGCTCCAAAGGTTTCCTTAAACCAGTGGTTGCCAACTTTTCAGACGTCATGGACCACCGTTTGGCGACCGCTGCTCTAGATTTCATTAAAAAGGGCTTATTTGCAATTAAATGAAGCTAATAAGCTTACTTAAAATTTTTAAAATACTGAAATTTGATTTATTTACATCAAGAGAGAAATCTTGCCCAAACCAGTTTGGCTCAGTGGATAGAGCGTCGGCCTGGGGACTCAAGGGTCCCAGGTTCGATTTCAGTCAAGGGCATGTACCTTGGTTGCGAGCACATCCCCAGTGGGGAGTGTGCAGGAAGCAGCTGATCGATGTTTCAAACTCTCTATCCCTCTCCCTTCCTCTCTGTAAAAAATCAATAACATATAAAAAAAAAAAGAGAGAGAGAAATCTTAGGGTTTAACAAGTATATAGGTTTCCTGAGTATTGAGCTTTAAATATTTACATATTTGGAAAACATGTTTCAAAATATATGAGTCACGTGTTTTCCTGTAAACATTGTTTTTTCATTAATATTAATCTTTAGAAAACAAGGTATGTAACTAGGTCTCCGGTTATTTTCTAGATTATTTGTTGAAACTTTATAAATAATTTCCCAAAAGCTTCTAATTCATTAAGAATCTTTTTCTATTTAATATAAATTCACCTTGTACTTCCATTACTATGTACATTGTTTCTTTAAAGTAGTGCTTCTCAGACTGTAATGTGCATACAAACTGTCTTGAGATCTCATTAAAATAGAAGTTCAGATTTAGGAGGCTCGGGGCGGGGAATGAGATTCTGCATTGCTCACAAGCTCCCAAGTGATTTTGCTGGCCATTGACCACCCTTTGAGTTAGCGAGGCAGGCTTCACATATATATCAGGGCAGTCTCCGCAAGAAAACTGGAGATGGGAGAGGAGTACATATAAGCTTTTTTATTTATAAAACATCAAGATAGGCAGAAACAGATTTTGTTGCCTTCTATAGCCAGATTGGGAGAGGAGATGTCCTTTACCTCTAAGATATGAATTTTAATATTGAGGTAGCTGAGTCTAAGAGTAAGATAAAGAAAGAAGTAAGTGTATGTGTGATTGGGGTAGGGAGGGTGACAACATATAGAAAAGGAGAATATGAATCAGTGATAAAAAGAAAAAATTTCCATGAAAAGTAGAATTATTAAGAACATAAGGATTATCATTTAACAAGTAAAGAGTAACTGAAAGAGAAGGGAAAGAGAATAAGGCTGAGGGCAGGGAAATTTTGCCAGAACAGGACCTCATAACCCAGAATTACCTTGCCAAGTGCAAGGTACACGTTATACAAAAGGGAAGGATGCCTTTGTTCCATATAAAGACTTTTCAGTAGAAATATGAGGTCTTACTATAATGAGATCACTGGTCCTCAAGTTTTCTAAACTCAAGATGGCATGGAGGAGAGCTTAGCATGTGGCTCTTGAGAAATTTAAGAGAACAGTTTTTTAAAAAGATGAATTCTAGTATTTTCTTTTTTTTTTTTTACATGAATTGTAGTGTTTTAATCTGTTATCAGTCTAGTACAGTGGTTCTCAACCTTCTTAATGCCACGATCCTTTAATATAGTTCCTCATGTTGTAGTGACTCCCAACCATAAAATTATCTTCGTTGCTACTTCATAACTGTAATTTTGCTACTGTTATGAATCGTAATGTAAATATCTGATATGCAGGATGTATTTTCATTGTTACAAATTGAACGTAATTAAAGCATAGTGATTAATCACAAAAACAGTATGTAATTATATACGTGTTTTCCAATTATCTTAGGTGACCCCTGTGAAAGGGTCGTTCAACCCCCAAAGGCAGGGGTCCTCAAACTACAGCCTGCGGGCCACATGCAAATACAAATATTGTATTTGTTCCCGTTTTGTTTTTTTACTTCAAAATAAAATATGTGCAGTGTGCATAGGAATTTGTTCATAGTTTTTTTTAAAACTATAGTCCAGCCCTCCAACGTTCTGAGGGACAGTGAACTGGCCCCCTGTTTAAAAAGTTTGAGGACCCCTGCCCAAAGGGGTCGCGACCCACAGGTTGAGAACCGCTAGTCTAGTATATGTTTTCCCTTCAAGAAATTGCCTCGTGCTTTCTATTACACTGAATACGAACATGTAAATCCTTATTGTTATGGCGTACACGTGCACTCTGATTAAAAAATGTCTTTAAGTATATCTAATATAATAATAGAAGAATATGCAAATTAGCCTGGACACTGGAACGTCACCACCAATCTACAAGCCGAGGAGAGCTACAGGAGGGCGGGGCAGCGAGCCACGAGTGAGAGAGCTAAGCTACCAGCCGCAGTGGGTGGCGTGGCCAGCTGAGGCAAGTGGCAGCGAGCTACTCGCACACGGATAGTGCGCAGGGCTGCTAATTTGTTTATATAGCTTTGCACAGTAGCAGTATCATAGCCAGAGAGATTTATCCGAGGCGCGATTATTGCTAATTGAAAAAAAATAATAAATAAGTAAATAAATAAATTTGTTTATAATGATAGATACCATAGGTGACACGTTTTCCCACTTGAGTATCACTTTTATTGAAACTTACATTAATAACCGTGTAGCTATACAGTTTCAGGGAGGTGCTGTTGTGTCTGTCCTCAGACTCTCCCTTCTCTTATCTCCGGTAGCCTGCCTAAAGCCACAGATGCTTAATGTGGTGGCCATCCCAGTTAACAAGGTTCTCATAAGATAGTGGCATTTGGTAAAGAAGCAGTTTGGCAAATATGTAATTTGATAGAAGTAAACTCTTTTTTAACTAACGTTTGTACTGAGCCAAGGCGATGAGGGGTCCGGGAGTGCACACTGGTAGACCAGAGTTGATGGGATTGGGGCTGGAAAAGCATGTAGTGGCTTCCACACAGCTGAGAGGAGACAATAGGTGACAGAACAGAGACTGCTCAACAAGGGGCCCTTGAGTCTCTTTCCTCTTCAACTTCAGTCTCTCTCTTTTATTAACTGTGTGACCTAGAAAGCAAGGATTGTTGGAAGAATTAAAAACAATGTTTTGCTGTCTTAAATCAAGGTTGGACAAAGCTATGTCCTGAACTCCTATGAGTCCTTCATAATATACTGATGAGCATACAGTAAATACTGAGTTGATAGACAACTTTTAGTGTTTCCATTTAAAAGAAGCTAATTTTAGTACTTGACTGTGCAAATTGATAATATTTAGTGTGTAAGAAGAATTGGTTATCATCTGAAATGTATTCCATTAATATAGTTTCCAAATCAGATAATATAAACATTCACAAAATTTAATTTGTTTATATATGTCATCTGTTTCATCAATTTTGCATCAGAAAAAAATGCTGTTTCAAAAGTCAAAACATTGGTTAAAAATTTTATCTCTGGAGGGTAGAATAATAGAGAGTTTTTACTTTCTGGATTAAACATTTCTTTTTGGTGTTTGGGTGGGTTTTTGTTAAGTGTATTACTTTATAATCAATAACAAATTTAAGTTGGTGTTAAAGATGGATTTTACAATTGATTTTACTTAGAAGAGATTTGCTGAAGTTCCTGTGTATGTTTATTCAGAGAAAGCATGAAAGCAGTGGCAGACACTGAAGACAGAGACATGAGGAGAAAGAAGGACGAATATTTCACTTTCAGTCCTCTAACAGTTGTAATATTTGTGGCCATCTGCTGTGTTATGATGGTCTTACTTTATTTCTTCTACAAATGGTTGGGTAAGAAATCATGTTTTATATTTGCTATTTTTAGCAAACAATCTTTTCACTTACTTTGGCAGGTTTATCTTTTCCTTCTACCCGGAAAACTTAAGTGAATAAATAAAAAGTGATATTAACTTTTTAAATTGTTAGAAATGTTAGGTCTCCATTACTGTGGGGTAAAAAAAAATATTCAGATTAAAAATATACTGTCTTGAGATAAGAACACTTCTTCATGAATGACTTGAAAGAATTGTTATGGTCCCTACATTTCCCTCCCTGTAGGTAAAGCAGGAAATCCTAATATCTAAAGAGCAGGTTAGCACGGCCAGTGTTGCTCGTTGGTTGAGCATCGACCTATGAACTAGGAGATCACAATTCAATCTGGTCAGGGCTTATACCTGGGTTGTGGTCTCTATCCCCAGTAGGGATGCGGGATACAGGCAGTAGCAGATCAATGATAAATATCATTGATCTTTATCTCTCCTCCCTTCCTCCCTGACATCAATAAAAATAGTTTTTAAAAATAAAGAGTAGGCTAGGGACTTCTTGGTGGCTCTATTTAGTTACATGAAATAGAAGCTGTTCAAATTACTGATTTATTGCCTTTACTTACCCCCAAAGTGTAGTTTATTCTTTTGTCAGTTTATAAATAAAGATGTTATATTACTTGAATTTTGTTTTGTGTAAACAGTTAGGGTCATACTACATCTAAAGACACACAGGTATTTGCCTGTGATCTAGAGAGTAAGTGGTACTTATTCCTTTAAGTAGGTAGCGGTAGGAACATGATGGCTTGTCCATCCCCTGGACAATCTTCTTAATTGTCTGATAGGATGGAAATTTGCCATTCCTGGCCAACATACAGTACAAAGAGGAGGTGGAGAGACCAGGGAAATGGGGGGTTGGGGGGTGATAGATGAGAACTTGTAAAAACCACCAAAGGCTACAATGCTTATTTGGAGAACATTAGAATACTTTCTGGACTAGAAAATTGAGGCCTTAAGGTTAGTTTGAGCTCATTCAATTTCTCCTGCCCTGTGGCAGCAATTTTGAAAATATAATCTATTGACATATTTCCAATTAGAAAATAATCATTCTTCGAATATCACTCATATTTTGATCTGTTGTGGTTCTAGGGCAGTGATGGCGAACCTTTTGAGCTCGGCGTGTCAGCATTTTGAAAAACCCTAACTTAACTCTGGTGCCGTGTCGCATATAGAAATTTTTTGACATTTGCAACCATAGTAAAACAAAGATTTATGTTTTTGATATTTATTTTATATATTTAAATGCCATTTAACACAGAAAAATCAACCAAAAAAATGAGTTCACGTGTCACCTCTGACACACGTGTCATAGGTTCGCCATCACTGTTCTAGGGTGTTGTTTGTATTATGTTGTCATTGGGTGGCTCATTTTTCTATTTTAATGGTCTTGAATTGTTTGTGTCTGACCCTCAGTCAATATATTAGTGGCCTTTGATAGGAAAAAAAGATTTCTGTACCCTATCATAAAGCATGTTACAATTTTTGGTAAGGTATTTTCTTAAACTGATTGCTATTTTAAAAGTTGACCCTGCCCTTGATGGTGTTGCTCAGTTGGTTGGGTGTTGTCCTGTGAACCAAAAGGCTGCCAATTCAATTCTGGTTGGGGCACATGCTCAGGTTGTGGGCTCAATCCCAGTAGGAGGTATCCAGGAGGCAACTGATCAACCGATCAATGTTTCACTCTCATATCGATGTTCTCTCTCTCCCTCTCTCTTATTTCTAAAAATCAGTTTTAAAAATCTTTAAAATAAACTCAAAAGCATACACTGAAAAAAATAAAAATAAGGCTGGCTGGTGTTGCACAGTGGTTAGGCATTGATCCATGAACCAGGTGGTCACCTGTGTGAGTCCCAATCAGGGCACATGCCCAAGTTGCAAACTCGATCCCCAGTAGGGGGTGTGCAGGAGGCAGCTGAATGATGTTTCTCTCTCTCTCTATCCTTCTCCTTCCTCTCTCCCTAAAATAAATAAAAACATTTTTTAAAAAATAAAATAAACTATATATATAAAAGCCTAAGTGACCGGTCGACTGGTCGCTGTGACGCACACCGACCACCAAGGGGCAGATGCTCAACGCAGGAGCTCCCCCCTGGTGGTCAGTGCGCTCCTGCAGCCGGTCAACCTTCTGCAGCCCTGATCGGGCCTGATTGCTGTCCAGGCTGAGGGATCCCACTTGTGCACGAATTCGTTGCACCGGGCCTCTAGTATAATATAAAATAAAATAAAAGTTCACCCTGTTTATAAATGTAATTTTTGATGTAAGAGAAAAATCATTAAACCTCAACGTTATCCCAGAACATGGGATTTAATTATAACTCTGAGAATATCTTATGTGATTATTGTAAGATTTAATTCACCTTTAAGTGGTGAATTAAATCTTATGAATATCACATAAGGCTCAATATGCTGCCTTTTCTTAATATATTAACTAATGGGACTATACTAAATTGGTAGGGTTCCTCTTGCCATTTTATGATTGTCATGCTCAAGGAAGTAACTAAAGACAGTTATATTAACCAAATTCTTTTCCACACCCAATTATTTTCTTAAGTATAGTAAGATACTGAATGAGGCACCTAAAATCTGTTAGGGTCCCAGAGCCTCATTTCCACCAGTGTTGTAAAACTTGGGTTGGAGACCTGTGATGGATGACTTACCAACCTTAATTTGACAATCTTTGACTCTCTATCTTACTATTCCTATTACCGTATATAACCAACAAGAGCAGTGATGCGAACCTTTTGAGCTCGGTGTGTCAGCATTTTGAAAAACCCTAACTTAACTCTGGTGCTGTGTCACATATAGAAATATTTTGGGGAAAAAAAGAAAGAAAGAAATATTTTGGTATTTGCAACCATAGTAAAACAAAGACTTATATTTTTGATATTTATTTTACATATTTAAATGCCATTTAACAAAGAAAAATCAACCAAAAGAATGAGTTCGCGTGTCACCTCTGACACGCGTGTCATAGGTTCGCCACCATTGAACTAGAGGCTTAATGCACGAAATTCTAGCCAAGGGCTCAGCCCTCACAGCCCCGGCTTCATCCAAAATGTCACCCGGAAGGTCGTCTGGACAGTTGTTCTGCTGTTTCAGTCTAATTAGCATATTAGCTGTTTATTATATAGGATAATTAAAATAGCAACAAATAAGAGTTATATAAAGCTAATTATGTGCCAGATCCTCACAATAACCCTGACATGGGTATAATTATATTTCACATTTTAAAGATAAGACTCAGGGACTAAAAAGTAATTTGTCTAGATCACCAATTAGAAAATGGCTACCATCTCTAGATTACTTTCTTTCTCAGCTGCAGAGCAATTATAGTTTTCTACAATTTAGTGGAATTTGAAAAATTCAGGTAAAATTTGTGTTTCCATTGTGAAATTTTGATGAAGTTCAGAAAACAAATTATTTTTATTTTATTTTAGAGTACAATAAGCCCCCCCCCCCCCTTATTTTAACAACAAGGAGACCAAATGTTTTTAATTTTAAAGAATTCTCAAATAAGTATAGCTACTATAGAAAAACACTTGTCGCCCTAGCTGGTTTGGCTCAGTGGATGGAGTGTTGGATTGCGGACTGAGGGGTCCCAAGTTCAATACCGGACAAGGGCACATGCCCCGGTTGCAGGCTCGATCCCCAGTTGGAGGCGTGCAGGAGGCAGCTGATCCATGATTCTCTGTCATCATTGATGTTTCTCTTTCTCTCTCCCTCTCCCTTCCTCTCTGAAATCAATGGAAATATATTTTTTAAAATACTTAAAAACAAAAAAGAAAAGAAAAACACTTGTCAATTTTAACTGCCTTAGTATTGTTTCATAACAAAGAGGTTTGCTTAAATGGATTTGGTTTTACCGCAGGCCAAGTTACAGATAAATTTGACTTTAGAAAAATATAGAGAGCATGGCTAATGTCTAAGGTGTCAGTTCTCATCCCTAAGCTGCATTTTAAAAAGTGTTTATGGAATGCAGACTGGTGCAGCCACTGTTGAAGGCAGTATGGAGTTTCCTCAAAAAGTTAAAAATGGAAATTCCATTTGACCCAGTGATACCACTTCTAGGAATATATCCCAAGAAGCCAGAAACACCAATCAGAAAGGATATATGCACCCTTGTGTTCATAGCAGCACAATTTACCATAGCTAAGATTTGGAAACAGCATAAGTGCCCATCAGTAGATGACTAGATTAAAAAACTGTGGTACATCTACACAATGGAATACTACGCCACTATAAAAAAGAAGCAACTATTTTACCATTTGCAACAGCATGGATGGAACTGGAGAGCATTATGCTAAGCGAAATAAGCAAGTTGGAGAAAGATAAATATCACATGATCTCACTCATATGAGATATAATGATCAACATAATTTGATGAACAAAAATAGATCCAGAGACAAATGGCAGAGGAGGTGGGGGGGTGGGGGGTGGTAGAGAGCAACCAAAGGACTTGTATGCATGCATATTAGCATAACCAATGGACACAGACACTGGGGTGGTGGGGGCTTGCCCAGGGTGGGAATGGTTGAGGGGAGTGGGGGGAGTCAATCGGGGGAAAAAGAGACATATGTAAAACTTGAGACAATAAAAAAATTTTAATTTAATTTTAAAACTGTTTATAATGGCTTATTCATTCTTCTATTTCTTACATTAAAATTAAATACTCATAAATGTGTACATCTCCCTTCATAGAAATCTTTAACAAACATGTCAGTTTGAATGATAGTAAATGGAGAGCCAGCTTCACAACCCTTTAAGCAATCATCCTTCCAATGTATAAAGGAATTGAAACAACACAAATTACTCTTAAAAACTCAAGATGTAAATATTAAAAAAAAAAAAGATGTAAATATTTTCAGTTTAGTAACCAATTCAGATCATACTATGGCCAGTGCATTGAAAGTATCATGATCCGATGAGAAAGCTAAAGAATTGATATTGCTGTGTAAATATTTTCTTGTTACATTTTTTTCTGTTCTCATATAATTTAGTGTCTTGTTTTGTTTTCTTCTAGTTTATGTTATGATAGCAATTTTCTGCATAGCATCAGCAATGAGTCTATACAACTGTCTTGCTGCACTAATTCGTAAGATACCATATGGACAATGCACGTATGTATCTCTTATGAGGCACCCTGTAATGTTGGTTTTTGTAATATAAAACAATACAAGAAAAAGTAGTCTTATTTTAAATCCGTGCAGTTTAGTATTCATGTGGCTATTTAAATTTAAATTAATTAAAATTAAGTAAAATTACAATTTAGTTCCTCAGATTCATTAGCCACATTTCAAGTGCTAAATTGCCACATGGCCAGGCCAGTGTGGCTCAGTGGTTGAGTGTCAACCTATGAACCAAGAAGTCATGGTTTGATTCCCGGTTTGGGCACATGCCCAGGTTGTGGGCTCAATCCCCAGTGGATAGCATCCAGGAGGCAGCCAATCAATGATTCTCTCTCATTATTAATGTTTCTCTCTCCCTCTCCCTTCCTCTCTCTGAAATCAATAAAAATATATTTTTAAAGAAATAAAATATATTTTTAAAGAAATAGCCCTAACCGGTTTGGCTCAGTGGATAGAGCGTCAGCCTGCGGACTCAAGGGTCCCAGGTTCAATTCTGGTCAAGGGCATGTACCTTGGTTGCGGGCATATCCCCAGTAAGGGGTGTGCAGGAGGCAACTGATCGATGTTTCTCTCTCATCGATGTTTCTAACTCTCTATCCCTCTCCCTTCCTCTCTGTAAAAAATCAATAAAATATATTTTTAAAAAAGAAATAAAATATATTCCATATTGGAGTCCCAATATGGAATATTTGTATCATCACAGAAGGTTCTATTGAACTGATAAACATTTTATTATTTTATTACATTTTATTTAAAATCAAGACTTTTAAATTGTTATTGCAATAGTTTTCTTGTGACTGTGGTTAATATTTGTCATTTCTCACAGTACATAAACATTTTATTTCATCTGCAAGGTAAACTAACCTATTTCCATGTGTTTCTTTTGTTGTCGTTTTAGGATTGTGTGTTCTGGCAAAAGCATTGAAGTGAGACTTATTTTTCTCTCTGGACTGTGCATAGCAATAGCTGCTGTTTGGGCCGTGTTTAGAAATGAAGATAGGTATGAGCACTTAGTTTATTTGCTTTTAGATTACGGATGGATTATTCTATGTCTTGTCCTGATAATTTTTCATTATGATTATTATGGAAGTTTTTGCTTTTATCGCAGAACACCATAGTCTTGAAAAAAGTTACTTGTTAAATAAGCAGATTTTGTATTAGTGGATTTGAGGTCATATAGAAAAGGAAATAATGAATCATAATTTAAACATCTAAGCTGAAATAGACAATTACATATATGCTTAATTATGATGTAGCCATAATTTAGTATACAATGGAGTACAGTGCAACTATAAAGAATGAAGATCTCTATGAATTGATATGCAGTCATTTCCAGAATATATTTTTAAGTGAAAAACAATGCAAGAGAATATAAGTATACTAGAGTAGGATACCTCTTATTTAATAAAGAAGGAGTATAAGAAAAATATATAGGTATTCATCCATTTACAGGAAGGATAACCAGAAAAAATATATATTTAAGTTTCTTTAGTGTTTTATTAATGAAATTAGTAAAGTCCAAAGGATTTAATACCCTAAAATTTGGGAACAAAGTTCATACATTTTAGGCAGCTGCAGGTATGAGAAATCATTTGGGAATTATGCATATCCATTTCTGATAGAGTATGTTGCATAGCTCTTGTTTCCTTTATGTTCTAGCTACCTATCCTTTGTTATACGCCACCTTTCTAGAAGGAGACATATATAAATTCAAAGATTAAAGATAAATATGCATTTATGTTTGATAGTATAGTAGTATTAATTATTCTTAAGGCAGTAAATTACTAAATATGAAAAATAGGAGAGGTTTTTCATTTTATTTTTGTAATTGCTGCTTGATTATTGAATAATCAAATCATAGCAATTGTACAATTTTACTTTAGTAATCTATTCTTTTGAAAAGTTCCACCTGAGAAATAGACTGACAGGGTAGGGAGGTGGGAAGATGGGAAAAGATTAACCAAAGACTTAATGCATATTTGCACAGCTCATGGACACAGATAATAGTGTGGTGAAGGCTTGGGGTGTGGCGGGGGGTGGGTGGAGAGGGAAGTGGTGGGAAAATACTGTCAACAACAAAAAATAAACTTAAAAAAGAAAAGGAAAGTTCCATCTGAAAATAACTGGATAAAATAATAGAGTAACTTCTTTTGATTTTAGGTGGGCTTGGATTTTACAGGATATCTTGGGGATTGCTTTCTGCCTGAATTTAATTAAAACACTGAAGTTACCCAACTTCAAGGTAAGGTATTCTACTCTGACAGCTAAAATAATTGTTTCTTTTTATGTTTTTAAAATTATTATTGATTTTAGAGAGAGAGAAAGAGAGAGACGTCGATGTGAGAGAAACATCAATCAGTTGCCTCCCATATGTGCCCCGACTGGGGATCAAACCTGCAACCTAGGTATGTGCCCTGACCAGGAATTGAACCTACAGCCTTTTGGTGTGTGGGACGATGCTCCAACCAACTGAGCCCCCTGGCCAGGGCGATAATATTTTCTTTTTAAAACAACTTTACTGAGGTATAATTTACATATAATTATACCCATCTTAACTGTGAAGTTTATTGAAATTTTACAAATGTATAACTTTGTAACCACCATCACAATCAAGTTAAACAACATTTCTCATCTCTCCAAAAGCTCTAATCATGCCCTTTTGCAATCAATCCTAAACCCCAGTCCCAGGTAACTACTGATTTGCTAGCTAAAATATTTTAAATCATTTACGTAATATGCCTAATTTATAAAATTCTTACAGGACTAAATATCAGGGAAGAACATTTCTTTGATTCAGTGATTCTTTTTTTCTATAAAAAGAATAGGATAAAGAACATAAAAATTTTAATGGGGTTTGTAGAGAAAACTACAAATAGTAATAACCATTAATGCTTTTAAAAATAGTGTTCAAATGTATGTTCATATGTTTATTTATAACTTGAAAAATAATCTCTTAATTTAGATATGGGAAGTTTGACCTTTAAATTTGTTTCTTTCAACAGTCATGTGTGATACTTCTAGGCCTTCTCCTCCTCTATGATGTGTTCTTTGTTTTCATAACACCATTCATCACAAAGGTATGATATTTTGAAACCCATAGAAACATGCTAAAAGACAAGAATCTTAAACCTGCTCTTAGATTATTGGTTTTGCAGATGTTTACCCTGAGTGAGTTCTAACTCTTTTAAGAAAATTGTCATTGAAATTGGCCTTTTTAATGGAGGATTTTTTTTCAAGCCTTTAAGCCATTCTGCTAAGTAAAAAATGTCTCCTGACTGATGTGAATATGAGAATATCTCTAAATTTGCTTCCCTCCCTTTTTAAAGTATCTTTTCTTATTGTGAAACAGTAAGTAAATGTTTGCCGTAGATAAAATAGACAACAATAATAATGAAAATGTGGCATTGCTACTCTCATTTCTGTAGCTGTCATCTGAGAGTACCACACTGGAAATCTGAAGACCTAACTTGTACCCTTAACCCTGGATAAGTCAGATAGCTCTTTGTGCTTCAGTTTCCTAATCCATTGTGTGAAGGCGTATTACTAGCATTTCATCCTCCCTCTTCCACCAGTAAAATTCTTTTGGTTGCAACTAACAGAACCCAACCTACCCTTCTGTACCAAAAAGGTCCCGTCTATCCAAGCTGTGTGTAGAGGCCAAGATGGGGCTAGCCTCCGCAGAAACTAGATGCAGGGCTATATCTGCCCCCTTTCTGCTTCTGTCCATGTGTTCATGGTCTCAGACTGGCTTTTTCCATTATGTTAGAATCATAACAACTGGCATCTCCTAGGTCATCTATTTGCAGCTCTGCCACTAGCTCCTCAATAAAATGAAGGTGCTGTTCTCAGAATAAGGGAGAGGTGTTGGGTGAATGTGATAGTCTTTCATTATTTGCCCAATTTTTCCACTTTGTCCCTGTTCCTATCTCATGAATATATTTTAAATTATTGTCTAATTCTCCCATTTCCCCTATTTTATTTCGTGTCTTACTTTGTAACTTTCTATCATCTCTTTATCCTTTGTCACTTTCACATATTTAATATTTGATATTATAATCACTACTTTTTCCCCCATTCGTTCTTTATCCATTCTTTAGTCCCTACGATCTGTAAAATCACTGTAAAACTCTGCACTTCCATTAGGTACTTGCTATAATGGCGTAAGCCAAGCCTATGCCCCATTGGAGAGCTAAAATTGGCCCAAATCACAACTACAACCATCTTACTACCACCTTTCTGTGCCTTGATGATGAGCCATTTGACTAATTGACTTTATTTGCAATAGTACCCCACAAAAGCATAGAACTAGTATTACGGATTATAACAAAAATTGTTTAACTTATTAAAGCGGTTTTTTTAAAGTTCTATCTAAAGTTGTCCTAGCTTGTATCAATGTATTTGGTTCAATAAGATGTTTCTGTAAGGTACTCCATCAGAGATCTCATAATGAAAGTAAACCATTCTCTCTATAAAGCCATTGTCATAGGTCAACAGATCGTCATAGCATATGACACATAAATTTTACAGTGGCTATAGCTATATAAATTCTTGTTTTAAAATAATTTTTCCATTTTGTTTTAACACTAGTATCACTTTTTAAATGTCAAACGTGTCTGCCAGCAAACTATTTCCAATCTCTATACATAAAGAGTTTTTGAATTTTAAAAGTTTAGGGTAATAATAAAAATGTCTTTCAGCCCTCTTTCTTTCTTCTGTGCTTAGGGAATTCTTCATCTCCTTTTTTTCTATCTTAGTTCCCACCAACTAGGAATTCCTAGTAGTCTGATCAGGTGGAAAGATTGAAGTGCTCTTTGCTCTGTTCACTGTTACAGATTTACTTTAACACTGTCTTCTCAGTCTGGTTTGTTTTTATTGAAATTATAGACCTTACTTTTAGTAGGTAACTCAAAATGAAAATCAGATATGCAATTTCTTATTTTTGTTGTTCTCACTGAAAATTTCAAGGATTGAATATTGGACAATCTAAACATGTTCTCAACCCTGGTATTAGTAAACTTTTAATGAGTTAGCAGGGCCGGTGTCTATTAGTACTGACAATAAGAGCCTATCTTCGTTTTTGTTGTTAATCCTCTCCTGAGGATATTTTGCCATTGATTTTTAAAGAGAGTGGAAGGGAGGGGGGTGGGCGGGGGAGAGAGAGAGAAACATCGATGTGAGAGAGACACATCAATTGGTTGCTTCCCCACATGCAACCTGATGAGGGCCGGGGATCGAGCCTGCAACCGAAGTACGTGCCCTTGACCAAAATCGAATCTGGGACCCTTCAGTATGAGGGCTGATGCTCTATTCACTGAGCCAAACTGGCTAGGGCATCATTTTTATTTCATACACCATGGTTTTTGTTATAGTATTTTGCAGATAGTAGTTACTCAAATATCTTGGACTGTTTGAGAGGATATCAATGATGTTCTTTAGTTAAATGTTTTAAATAACAGTTAGAAAACAAGCCAAACTCTTTTAACTGAAAATTGAATCACATGATGGGAGTTTGCTGTAAGGAACTGTATTAAATATTAGTTTATTTTTCTAAACTCTGTAACTTAACCCTTCAGTAACCCAAAGCTTAACATGAGGAAAAGATTTCTATAGCTCAGGTATCAGCAAAGTACTCCTAAAAACATTCCGGTGACTTCTCCTTTGCACCCACCCATATGTAAAATATTATAGTTAGTAAATCAATTTTTCTAAACTTTAGCATTTATTTACCTTCCCACTACCTATTCTGAAGCTCGCTACCTCAGAATGTTTCCCCTCTCCACAGCAGACTTGGCTGGCAGGAAATAACTTTTTAATGAGCTCGTCACAGAGCCCACATAACAAGCCTGAGCCAGACACAAGGGAGAGAACTCAGCTAAGGTTAAAGTTTTGATTGGGACATAAAAGCAGACAGGGCTGATACTGGACAGCAGTTAGGGTAGAGAAGCATCTCAAGTTCTTTAGGGCTGGGTCTCTCAAGTTGGCTTCATTGTTTCGTTATTGTGGGGAGTAGCCAGAGATCAAATGTATTTTTATTCAAATAAAGTTACCAATATTGAATACACATCTAAATATTAAAAAATAAATATTTCTTCTGTCCCCATTAATTGTTATCGCTAAAAATGGCTAAGGACACATAATATATGACATAATATAACTAAAAGCAGAAAAATTTATAGCCCATTAGAAATGCTAGATATGGTTGTCAATACAAACCAGTGCGCAAAGCTTCACTTGAATAAGCTGTATATGGTTTATCTGTCAGTTTCTGAAAATTGTTGAGTTCTGATAAAGTGGAACAGTGTTGCTAGGTGGATTTTGTTTCTGATTACTCCAACTTATCTACAGAGACTGTTTTAGGAAAAAAGGAGTATTTTATTTTATTTATTTAGTTTTAAAATATTTTTATTGATTTCAGAGAGGAAGGGGGAGGGAGAGGAAGGTAGAAATATCAATGATGAGAGAGAATCATTGCATGCCTCCTACTGGGGATCGAGCCCGCAACCTGGGCATGTGTCCTGACCGGGAATAAACTGTGACCTATGGTTCATACGTCGGCACTAACCATTGAGCAACAGCAGCTGGGCTTATGGTGCATTTAAAAAATCAATTTATGGTAGGCCATAATCCACAGAGCCAAATCATACTGTCAGATTGTTCTCTTTAAACGATTGGACAATTTCTTTCATCTTCTCAATTTTAGAACGGCGAGAGTATCATGGTTGAACTTGCAGCTGGACCTTTTGGAAATAATGAAAAGGTAGCGATGGCATTTAAACAGAACTGGCTGCCACTGTATGTATGTGTGTCCAGTTAATAATTTGCCCTCCTGTGTAATTAATTGGTCATGTCGTGCATGTTAAGGTATTGTAAAACTTTATTTCTCACAGAATATAGCCCTTTTCTTAGTTATTCTAAATTATTAAATTACCTATTGACTTGGGTTTCATCCTAGAATGATGGAAACTTGGTGGAAGCCACTGGTCAACCCTCAGCTCCCCATGAGAAAGTAAGGATTGTATTTCAGATATGTTCATTGGACTTTAAATTATAGCCTCTGAGACAAGACTCTTCTTTGGGGGAAAACAATCCAGATTGCCAAAAAAAAAAAAAAAAAAAAAAAAAATCTGTTTCAAGGCCTGAGTCATATTTTTGCTAAAAATGGAAAAGAGGTTAGATGTGGGGATACTAGAAGTCATACTGTTAACCCTACACGTGTTTCGTTTTTTCCAGAACTACATATCTCTTTCTTTCAAGCTTCCTATACATTCAGAATATATATGTGTCTAGTTTATGTTTTCTAATTTCAAGTTCTTCTAAATGTCAGTTTTAAAATGTTAAAACAATCATTCTAATATTAATTCTTCCTTTTCTAAAAGGTATGGGTAAAAATTCCGAAGAGGGTTTATTGGTGACCCTTTTTCTTTTCTTTTTTTTTAAATAATTACAGTTACCAGTAGTCATCAAAGTACCAAAGCTGGCATATTTCTCAGTAATGAGTGTATGCCCCATGCCAGTTTCCATTTTGGGTTTTGGAGACATTATTGTACCAGGTAAGCAATTGTTTGTAACAATTATGTAAAAAATACTGATCATTTCAATTTGTCAGATGTATAGTATTTGTTAAAAGTTACCTACTCTGTATTAAGTATCTCTTGGCTATCGCTAGAGCTGGGATCAATGATAAAGAAAGAAAAAAGCATTTTGAGTGGTAGAAGACAAAGCCCAATTGGTAACAACCAAAGTATATCTTCCATGGCTCAAAAAGTCTCTTAGAGGAAGCAACTAGGATCAGTTTGACCTTATTCCTTAAGGAAGTATAATATATTCAAAACCCTTTTTAAAAATTTAATTCAATAATACCAAATGTATTATAATTCCTGTTACTTCTGTTTTAAAATAATAGTTACGTTTTAGGAAAAGTGATTTAGAAACATAGTAAACACTGCCCTATAGGGTACTATAATACAAAACATATAGCATAGCATATGGTGGAGTTGACGAGCTTTTAGCATGTCTTCTCTGACCGTTATTGCAGCTCTGCATTATTTTCCTCACTGGGCTACCTGTAGAATAAACTTCACCCTAGCCCACTAAAAATACAGTTTAGAAGTAATTAATATCTCTCAATTAGCTGACACTTTGTCCTTCCTCACGTTTCTTACCGTTTCCCTGGGTCCTAAGTGCCTGTGGATGGGTAAAAAGTACTAGCTCTTACGAAAAATACGCACACTCACCAAAAAAACATTTTACTTACATAGTAAAGCCAAGTAGAGAGAAAATAGAACAGTGTTGTGTTATGAGTTGTGGTGGTGGTTTTAAGAAAATAACGCTGAGTGTTTTTTCTTTTAAGGCCTGTTGATTGCATACTGTAGAAGATTTGATGAGCAGACTGGTTCTTCTTCTTCTATATACTATGTCTCCTCCACAATTGGTAACTTTTTTGTGTGTTTTTTTATTATTATGTTGAATTGTGTTATACGTAGGAAAAGGTAGAGGTCTAAAAATAAGGAGCTCTAAATTCTAATTCGTCATCACTAACTAATAAGACAAATACTTTTTCCCATCAAAAAGGAATAATTATACTTCCTACTTCACAAGGTTTTTGAGGCTTAACAAGGAAATTATATGTGAAAGAAAAACATTACATTTTATATGTAAAATACTTATTAGAGCAACTGGCACACAAGTAGTCAAATTATATAATACTAGATTTAAAAAAAATACTGTATGGATAACTATGTATTTATATAAATGAACTTATGGCACAATAACATCTCACCTAGGACAGCAAGTAGTTGTTACTTATCTCTCGGTTTCTATTGTTTATTTGTTTTTTTAATATATTTTATTGATTTTTTTACAGAGAAGAAGGGAGAGGGATAGTTAGAAACATCAATGAGAGAGAAACATTGATCAGCTGCCTCCTGCACACCCCCTACTGGGGTTGTGCCTGCAACCAAGGTACATGCCCTTGACCGGAATCGAACCTGGGACCTTTCAGTCCACAGGCTGACGCTCTATCCACTGAGCCAAACCAGTTAGGGCTCTGTTTCTGTTGTTGAGGACAGACAGGAGCAGGAAGGGAGCCAAAAATACTACTTCTGAACATATCAAATAGGTATATCAAAGTCCATACACCAGAGTTCTTTTAGGTAAATGGCCTGCACCAGAGCCATTTACTAGTAGGTACTGTTCTAGTAAGGTTTTTCATTCCACAATCGAATTAAATTTAGAAAATTAAAAGTGTAGGTTGGCAGTAGAGAAGGGTGTTGCTAGAAATAGGTACCCTGATAACTAGAAACAACAAGTGAATGAAGAGATAAAAAACGAAAAAAGAAGAGCAATCTGAGGCCATGAAGTGTGTACTCTCTAAGGCAGTGGTTCTCAACCTTCTGGCCCTTTAAATACAGTTCCTCATGTTGTGACCCAACCATAAAATTATTTTCGTTGCTCCTTCATAACTGTCATGTTGCTACTGTTATGAATCGTAATGTAAATATCTGATATGCAGGATGCTCTTAGGCGACCCCTGTGAAAGGGTCGTTCGACAGCCAAAGGGGTCGCGACCCACAGGTTGAGAACCGCTGCTCTAAGGGCATTAACATTAAGAGCCTAGCACCAGTTACTGTGATACAATAAAAGAACACTCGGTGAAAAGGTGAATAATAGGGACTGTGTCACTTCTGCTGTGTCACTTTGGCCAGCTCACTTCACTTCCCTGGTCCTCCATTGCCACATCTGTAAAATGAGGAGATAGACTCAGTTGTCTGTAAAGGCCCTTCCAGCTCCAATATTCTCAGATCCCATGTTCAAAATGAGACCCTGAGTCATTAAGAAAAGATGAAATGATATTTGGTGTGCTCTTGTTGCACAAGACCAGGAAATACATAATCAATGTGAGGAAGATTTTTTTCAAAGCAATCATTAGTACCTAAGGCTCCAAATTTTAGTTATCTAAAATGTGAGACAACTCAAAATCCTTAATGGTAACAGATACATGAGACTTTCTTGAATTATTATATTTACCTACGGTTGATGGTTAGTATTTATACTAACCAGTTTCCAAGTTTTTCAAAAGCCCTATAGAATGTCTCTCCTAATTACAGTCTAGGAAAATAATGAAATTATGAAAAGAAGTCATAGGGTAAAATCGTCCTCAAATACTTGAAAACCGGTACTTCAACTAGGGATTTAAAAAATCCACCTTTGGCCCGGCTGGTGTGGCTCAGTGGTTGAGTGTCGACCTATGAACCAGGAGGTCATGGTTCGATTCCCGGTCAGGGCACATGCCCGGGTTGCAGGCTCGAGCCCCAGTAGGGGGTGTGCAGGAAGCAGCCGATCCATGATTCTCTCTCAGCATTGATGTTTCTATCTCTCTCTCCCTCTTCCTTCCTCTCTGAAATCAATAAAAATATCTTTAAAAAGAAAAAGAAAAAGAAAAAAAAAAGAAAAGCCCTAGCTGATTTGGCTCAGTGGACAGAGGGTCAGCCTGCAGACTGAAGGGTCCCAGATTCGATTCCAGTCAAAGGCACATGCCCAGGTTGTGGGCTCGATCCTCAGTAGGGGGTGTGCAGGAGGCAGCCGATCAATGATTCTCTCTCATCATTGATGTTTCTCTCTCTCTTCTCCCTTCCTCTCTCTGAAATGAAATAAAAATACATTTTTTTAATCTTTTAAAATCCACCTTTGGAAGCATTCAGAAATGACTGATATTTGTTATTCTTTTTGCAGCCTATGCTGTTGGCATGATAATTACCTTTGTTGTTCTGGTGCTGATGAAAAAGGGGCAACCTGCTCTCCTCTATTTAGTACCGTGCACACTTATTACTGCCTCAATTGTTGCTTGGAGACGTAAAGAAATGAAAAAGTTCTGGAAAGGTAGCAGCTATCAGGTATGTGCTTATATTTTAGATGCCAAGTAATCTTATGAAATAATTCAGTGACTAACTGTGGCTGGAACTGCCTATATGTATCTAAGCTTTTATGTGCCAAGTATTTATCTTGGATCTCTCAGGCTGTCCTTTAAGTTTTTTCCACTACTGCCCCTTCCTGTCCACCTGCTGCATCATCAGTTTTCATTACCACTGCAATCTGATGCCAAAATCCTGGTGACTCAGGAAGGAGTGGGAGGGCATCAGGAAAAAGCAAAACATATTTCGACATGTTTTCAGAATGCACACAAAAGTAGACTTCATGGAATATAAAACTATGTTTAACTACTGAATTTTGAGACTGACATTAGCTATTTATAGTGAGAGTCCTAAGGTTTTTCAGATAAAAAGTATACCCTTGCTCTGGCCAGTGTGGCTGAGTTGGTTGGAGCATCATCCCATATACCAAAAGGTTGCAGGTTCAATCCCAGGTTGGTCATGTACAGAAGGCAACTGATCAGTGTTTCTCTCACATCAATGTTTCTCTCTCCATTTCCTTCCCTTCCCCTTCCTCTCTCTCTCTAAAATCATTAAAAAAAAAAAAACACCCACCATATCCTCAGGTGAGGATTAAAAAAAAAAGTATACCCTCTTCAGCATCTAAATGGGCCTAAGTAAATTAAATAGAGCACTCATTTTAGATTGACCATTTTGTAAAATTTCAGGACACAAAAAATCTTAATACCAGACTACTGTGTTTGAGTTGTGCCTTCATTGAAGTTAAACTCCTTTCTCCTTTTTCTGAACGTTCTTGGTATTCGACTGAAGTCTGTTTGCATTGAAATGAAAGAGGGTTGGGAAACCCTAGCCATCAAGGTCAGGGTCATGGCATTGATCCCTTCACAAGGCAGTTAGCACTGCTTTGCCCTATTACAACAAACTGCCCTCCTCCATCCACCCCCCATGCATGTGTGTCAGTGGTCACATGAACAAAACAGAGGTACTTTGGGTGGATGACGCAATTCTATTAGTAGATAAACAGTTCAAAGTTCATATTCATCTTGTAGTTGGTCTGTAGTATCATCTTTATTTAACAAGAGGTGATTAACACATTAAGTTAGACCAGTTGGAAAAGCACTGGTCTGGAATTCTTTTTGGATAAATCTTGTAATTTCTCTGAGATTTAGATAAAAATAACAACACCTGCCTTACTTCACAATGCCATTGTCTCAACATGTATTTATACACGTAGAATCAGTTTATAGTCACAAGGTCTGTGACTAAACTAGTAAGATAGGTTGCAACTTTCCCATTAAAAGGACACACAGAATTTTTATTTTTACAGATTTAAAAAAATAAAGTATGTCCTACAACACATATTCTACTACTGTCCTAGCCTTTGAAAGCCACAACCCAAAAAGTGCTCTTCATCATCATTTTTTAAAAATATCTTTTTCTTGATTTCAGAGAGGAAGGGAGAGGGAGAGAGAAAAATATGAATGATGAGTGAGAATCATTAATTGGTTGTCTCCTGCACATCCCCTACTGGGGATCGAGCCCGCAACCCAGGCATGTGCCTTGACTGGGAATCGAACTGTGACCTCATGGGTCATAGGTTAACACTCAACCACTGAGTCACACCAGCCAGGCTCTTCATCATTATTTTTTAAAAATAATTTTATATTTTTTCATTTAGCAAATGTTTATTGAGCAGTTCTGTGACCCAGGTACTATTTTAGCTGGTAATAAAATATGAACAAGTTAGATACAGGTCTAACTCTTAGAAGTGAGAGTGCTGTGGGGGATACAGATGGAATCACTACTGATACGGTGTGATAAATGTACTAGTTATGGTAGGTGCCATGAAAGCTAGCAGGGGACACCCAGTGCTTATAGGTTCATGACTGAGTCCAAGGTGATTTGGGGAAGGCTTTAAAGAATGTTAACTTTGCCCGGGCAGTGTTGCTCAGTGGTTGGGTGTTGACCTATGAACCAGGAGATCATGATTCGATTCCCAATCAGGGCACATGCCCAGGATGTGGGCTGTATCCTTAGTAGGGGGCATGCAGGAGGCAGCTGATCAGTGATTCTCTCTCATCATTGATATTTCTGTCACTCTCCCTTCTTCCTGAAATCAATAAAAATGTATTTTTTAAAAAATTTTTAGTTTTTAACTTTATGTTGAGACTTAAAATGAGCCAGGTGTTCCATGTTGAGGGACCCATGTCTTCAAAGGCTAGAGGGAAGCGAGCATGGCACATTCTAGGGACCAGATGTGGTTTAGGATGACTATAATGTTGAGTAAGCATAGGGGAGCTGTAGGAAATGAAAACTGGGGAAGGAAATAAGGGTAAGAACCTGTAGGATCTTATAAGCCATGTTAAAGAGTTTGAATACTATGCTAAGAACATTGGGGACCATTTAAGGGTTTTAAGAAATTTAGAGTGTTGCTCAGTAGTTGGAGTGTCAGCCTGCGCACCGTAGGGGCTCGGGTTCAATTCCTGGTGCCAGCTATTACAGTGAGAAGCAATAGTAGCCAGAATTTGGAAGGCAGTGCGATAGAGAGAGGTGAACAAAGTCCAGAGAAATTAAGAGTGTGATTAATGAGATGTGGTAATAGATTCAGTGGACGGGGAGGAGAAGGAAGTGGAGTCCAAGGTTTCTGGCTTGGGTAATTGAGTGGGTGGATGGTGATACCATTCACTGAGATAAAGAACGGCAGCAAATTTGAGGAAAAAGATGACGAATTCAGTGTTGGACATGGTAAATGTTGAATATGAATTCAATTTTGAACATTTCAAAATATCTATAGGACCACCAGGAAGAAATACTAGGCAGTTGAATAAATGTCCCCTGATGTGCAGAAGGTTTCTAACTCTTAGGGCACCTACTAGTATCTGATTAACTGATTATGACATAGGACAACATGGGGAATTTTGTTTGGGGTTAGCATTAAAACTGAGGTTAGCCTTTAAATTTGGGATCGTTAGAGTACATGTGATATCTTACAGAAGTAAATGTATTTCTTATTATTTGCATTTTATTCTTATTTCTAAAATTGTCCCTTTCATTTAATACAGATGGGGCAAAAATATGTTATAGTTGTTAATATATAAAACAGTTTATTCTTGTATTATTAATTATTGTATTGTATTATTTTCTGTATGAACAACTGTAAGCCCACTTTTGCCCCACCCTGTACAGATTTTGAAGTAGTATTATAAAAATAGTGCTTATTACAGAAAAAGTTTGAAAAGACAAGAAAATTAAGTCCACCAGTAATCCCACCACCTAGAGATAGCCACTCCTAAAATGTAGGTGAGTTTTTTTTTATGCCTTACTGGATGAATGGATAGGTGAATGGGTGATCCCATCCTGTCTAATAAAAGAGAAACATGGTAATTGGCGTACGACCGCTACCCTTCCCATTGGCTAATCAGGGAGATATGCACATTAACTGTCAGCCAAGATGGCGGCCGGCAGCCAGGCAGCTTGAAACTAACATGAGGCTTGCTTGCTTCAGTGACGGAGGAAACCAACGTTCCCCGCCTGCCTTGCCGGCCTCTGAGCCTGCAATTTGAACATTGTAACAAATATAGAAGCTAAAAAAAACCCCAGAAACCAGCTTTCAGCGAGCTGGGATCTCAGAGCTGGAGTCAGAGCTGGAGTTATACATTGTTTTGATTACCTACTTTCAGCAGCGGAGGACTAAGAGCTGGAGCCTCAGACCTAAAGCTGGCCCAGAATTAAAAAAAGAAAAAAAGGAGCGGTTGGGAGCTTCCCTCACCCGCCAGCCTGAAAACAGCCCTCAGCCCCTCACCCAGACTGGCCAGGCACCCCAGTGGGGACTCCCACCCTGAAGGGTGTGTGACCAGCTGCAAACAGCCCTCATCCCCTCACCCAGGCTGGCCAGGCACCCCAGTGGGGATCCCCACCCTGATCCAGAACACCCTTCAGGGCAAACCAGCCAGCCCCACCCATGCACCAGGCCTCTATCCTATATAGTAAAAGGGTAATATGCCTCCCAGCACTGGGATCAGCGGAGCCGAGAGGCCTCCCGGCACTGGAATCAGCATGACAGGGGGCAGCACCCAAACCCCCTGATCACCCTGCAGCTCTGTGTGTGACGGGGCGGGGCCACAACCTCCCTCTCCGCCCTGCTCTGTTTGTGACAGGGGAAGGCGCCCCAACCTCCTGATCAGCCCTGCTCTGTGCCTGATACGGGGGAGCTCCCCAACCTCTGATCGCCCTGTGGCTCTGTGTGTGACAGGGTGCGGCGCCTCAACCCCCTGATCGGCCCTGCTCTGTGTGTGACAGGATAGAGCCATAACCTCCCCATAGGCCCTGCCCTGAGTGTGAGAGTGGCAGCGCCCCAACCCCCTGATCGGCCCTGCTCTGTGGGTGATAGAGGGTGGCGCCACAACCCCCACCCCTCCCATGGGCCCTGCTCTGTGTGTGATGGGGTAGAGCCATAACCTCCCCATCGGCCCTGCCCTGAGTGTGAGAGTGGCGGCGCCTCAACCCCGTGATCGGCCCTGCTCTGTGGGTGATAGAGGGCGGCACCCCAAACCCCTGATCCGCCCTGCTCTGTGGGTGACAGGAGGCGGTGCCCCAACTCCCCTATCGGCCCTACTCTCTGAGTGACAAGGGGGAGCTCCTCAACCCCCTGATGGGCCCTGCTCTGTGCGTGACAGGGGGTGGCGCTGCAACCTCCCCATCGACCCTGCCTTGAATGTGACGGGGCGGTGCCCCAACCCCCCCAATCGGCCCTACCCTGAGCGTGACTGGGGGTGGCATCGCAACCTCCCGATCCGCCCTGCTCTGTGCATGACAGGGGGCAGCGCCCCAACTCCCCAATCAGCCCTGCTCTGAGCCCGACCAGGGGCTGCACCTAGGGATTGGGCCTGCCCTCTGCCACCCAGGAGCAGGCCTAAGCCAGCAGGTCGTTATCTCCCGAGGGGTCCCAGACTGCGAGAGGGCACAGGCCAGGCTGAGGGGCCCCCCTCCCCCCCGAGTGCACAAATTTTTGTGCACCGGGCCTCTAGTCCTATATAATAAAAGAGAAACATGTAAATTGACCTCCCTTTGCTACGCTCACCAGCCAGTCAGGAGTGAATATGCAAATTAACCAGACAAAGATGGTGGGTTAATGTGCATACACAGGGGTTAGACAGAGAGCAGAAGCGGGAGAGCTGGCAGCTTTGGGAAATGTGGCTCCCTCGGTCACCGGGCAGAGAGCAGAGCAGGAGAGCCGGAGGCTTGGGGGGCCATAGCTCCCTCAGTTGCTCCCAGTGCGGGGGGGGTGGGGAGGGCTGGGGACACACCAGGAATTCTGGGAATAGTAGTTCTGATGGCAGTCCCAGGACCAGAAGTGGAAGCCGAGAGTGCAGGGAGCACCAGGAATGCTGGGAATCATAGTTCTGATGGCAGACGGATCTCCTAGACCAGCGGTTCTCAACCTGTGGGTCACGACCCCTTTGGTGGTCGAACGACCCTTTCACAGGGGTTGCCTAAGACCATCCTGCATATCAGATATTTACATTACGATTCATAACAGTAGCAACATTACAGTTATGAAGTATAACAAAAATAATTTTATAGTTGGGTCACAACATGAGGAACTATATTTAAAGGGCCAGAAGGTTGAGAAATACTGTGACCTAGACACTAGAGCAAAGTGAGTCTGAAGCAAGTTACTGTTGTGGGTGGGGGATGGAGGGAAAGCAAAGGTGAGAGACATAAGTAAAATCAGAGTGTCTAGGAAAAATTAAAGGGAAGATATCCTAAAACGTCCAGGAAATCTCCACCAATGAAGCAAAGAAAAAGAAAAATCCCTCTATTATTCTGTGAGCAACAAACCAAACTTTGTTGGGGGTCTCAGACAATTCGCTCATATGATTGCAAAGACAGAGAGAAACTCCCGGATTGGAGAGGGCTCCCCTGAGGGCTCCCAGATTGGAGAGGGTGCAGGTCGGGCTGAGGGACACCCCCCCAATCCCCTCACTCCCACCCCCCACCCCCCCAATCCCCTCACTCCCACCCCGCACCCCCCGTGCACGAACCTTCTAAATAGTTCTCTATCTTATTTCCCCACTGCATGTTAGTTATTTCATTTTAAATTCCTTGCAGAAATCACTTTAATGGCTATGTAGTATTATCTCATATGCATGTGCCATACGTTATTTTACCATTTCCTTTGACCCAGTAATTTCTCTTCAGCAGATTGTCAAAACAATAAAAATTTGAGTAAAATTGATGTGAAAAGATGTTCATTAGAGTACTCCTGGTCATCTTTGTTCTATTATAATAAAGTCTAGGTTAATATTATTGGCAGTTAATGAACTAATATTTTTATATAGACTCTAGCCCTGCTTTTACTTTTGATTATTTTTCTTTTTGTGTTTTAATTACAAAGTAATGCATGTGTGCATTTTTAAATTCCACATTGTTTACTTATTTATTTTTAAATGTTTTTGTTTTTATTGATTTTAGAGAGAGGAAGGGGTCGGGAGAGAGAGAGAAACATCGGTATGAAAGACAAACATCAAACATTGGTGGGTTTCCTCCTGTATGCACACACCCTGACCAGGACTGAACCTGCAACCTGGGCATGTGCCCTGACCAGGAATCAAACCGACGACATTTTGGTACTCAGGACGACGCTCAACCAACAGCCACACCAGCCAGGGTGATGTTTGCATTTTTTAAAAGCAATACAATGGTGTCTGAAGTAAACATAGAAGACCCTTTTCTATGTCTTTTACCCCCACACCCACCCTCAAGGGGCAGCTACTTTGAACGAATTCTGTGGAGCTTCCAGATCTTTTTATGCCAACACAGAGTGTAAAGAGTTGAATGTTTAGAGATGTTATATACATAGATATAATAACGTTGTGTCCCTTTGGGGATATTCTACAGCTTACTTTTTCTCAGGTCTATTGTAGTACCTCTCCTTTATCCATGATGTTTATTTTTTGTTTATTTCTTTTTATTAATAAATCTTTATTGTTCAGATTATTACAGTTGTTCCTCTTTTTTCCCTCCATAGCTCCCTTCCACCCGGGTCCCATTCCACCCCATGCACTTACCTCCCCCTCTGTCCTCATCCATAGGTGTATGATTTTTATTCAGTCTCTTCCCTCACCCCCCACACTCCCTTCCCCCCGAGAATTGTCAGTCCACTCCCTTTCTATGCCCCTGATTCTCTTGTATTCACCAGTTTATTCTGTTATCAGATTTTTTTATTCACTTGATTTTTAGATTCACTTGTTGATAGGTATGTATTTGTTGTCACTTTGTTATTCATACTTTTTAATCTTTACCTTTTTCTTCTTCTTCCCCTTCTTAAAGAATACCCTTCAGCATTTCATATAATACTGTTTTGGTGATGATGAACTCCTTTAGCTTTTTCTTATCTGTGAAGCTCTTTATCTGACCTTCAATTCTGAATGATAGCTTTGCTGGGTAGAGTAATCTTGGTTGTAGGTTCTTGCTATTGATCACTTTGAATATTTCTTGCCACTCCCTTCTGGCTTGCATGGTTTCTGTTGAGAAATCAGCTGACAGTTGTATGGGTACTCCCTTGTAGGTAACTGACTGTCTTTCTCTTGCTGCTTTTAAGATTATCTCTTTGTCTTTTGCTCTTGGCATTTTAATGATGATGTGTCTTGGTGTGGTCCTCTTTGGATTCCTCTTGTTTGGGGTTCTTTGCACTTCCTGGACTTGTAAGTCTATTTCTTTCACCAGGTAGGGGAAGTTTTCTGTTGTTATTTCTTCAAATAGGTTTTCAATATCTTGCTCTCTCTCTCTTCTGGCACCCCTATAATTCGGATGTTGGTACGCTTGAAGTTGTCCCAGAGGCTCCTTACACTATCTTCATATTTTTGGATTCTTTTTTCTTTTTGCTTTTCCAGTTGGGTGTTTTTTGCTTCTTTGTATTTCATATCTTTAACTTGATTCTTAGGGTTCTCCAGTCTGCTGTTGGATCTTTTTTTTTTTTTTTTTTTTTTTTTTTTTTGGCCTGAGCGGGCACGGAGTGGAGGCACTGCTCCTGCACCCCCGGGGTGCACCGCTTGTCTGTCTCTCGCCCTGGGTTCCCTCTTCCCCGGGCGCCTTCCTCATTCAGGGCCTCCGTGCCCAGTTCCTCAGGCCTCCCCCGCCTTCCTTGTCACCCTTGTGAACCCTCAGTACCCTCCTCTCTCCAAAGACTTCCCATCCCCCGTGCTCATTTCTTACTAGAAATGCTAGGAAACCTGAATTTTCCCGTCTGCCCCCTCTCCCAGGCCAGATCCTGCAGCCTTGGCTACATTGTGCTCATTCTCTGCTGTTGGATCTTTGTATATTATTCGTTTCAGTCAGTGTATGCTTAATTTCTAATTGGTCCTTTTTCATATCCTTGAAGGTCTCACTTAATTTCTCGGAGGTTTTTAGAAGATTCTTGAGTAACCTTATAACCGTGGTTTTGAACTCTATATCCAGTAGTTTGCTTTCCTCCATTTTTTTCATTTGTGACATGTTTCTTTGTCTCCGCATTTTGGCTGCTTCCCTGTGTTGATAGAGTGGCTTTGTATGCTAGGTGTCCTATAATTACCTGACGTTGACACTCTTGGTGCACCCCTTTATGGGCTGTGTGCACAGTCTTGTTGTAGTTGAGTCTTGATTACTGTTGGTATCACTGGGAGGAATTGACTGCCAGGCAACTGGCTGTGAGGACCAGCTGTGTCTACAATGGGAGAACTGCTGTGCTGGATACACCCTTATGGGGCAGGTCTTCCTTCAGTGGGGTTTTGGTGCTCACTGACTCTGCCCCTTGAGTGTGTCACTTATGGATGTGAAGAGTTGTACTCTGGTATGGTCTCACTCTGACCACTGGGTACACTGGCTCTTGCATCTCCAAGGAGGTGCAAAGTCAGCCACTGCCTGAGGACACCCAGCGGGAGCTACAGAGAGATCTGCAGATTCCTACTCTTTGTTTGGGCTTTGGAAGTGCCCAGATGAGGCCCAGCTGTGAAGCATTGCAGGCTGCTGTCTAGGCCAGTGATGGCGAACCTTTTGAGCTTGGCGTGTCAGCATTTTGAAAGACCCTAACTTAACTCTAGTGCTGTGTCACATTTAGAAATTTTTTGATATTTGCAACCATAGTAAAACAAAGACTTATATTTTTGATATTTATTTTATATATTTAAATGTCATTTAACAAAGAAAAATCAACCAAAAAAATGAGTTCGTGTGTCACCTCTGACACGCGTTTCATAGGTTCGCCATCACTGGTCTAGGCCTTCTTTTGGAAGCTTTGGTACTCTTTGACCCAGCTGCAGTTTGTTAGCTTTTAGATTGCAAAAGAACAGGCCATTTATATGCAAAGCCTCTGAGCACAGCTTGGCTGGGGTTGTAAATTGGGTGGGGCGGGGTCTCAGGGAATCATCAGGGCAGAGCAAACCACAATGGCTGCTAGTCTGCTATGCCTCGGAGTGGTCCCGGGGTCTCCGTGTCCCATGGCCCCATGCAGGAACAATGATCGCTGCAAACAACTCTGCGAGTATGCTGCCCTCACATTCCGGCCCGATGCCAAACAGTGCAGTTTCTCCCCGTATGAGTCTGGGTCCCCAGAGTCTCGCCTGGAACGGGAGTTCAGAGCAATTGGGAGCTTGTATCTCTCTCCCGATTGAAAAAAACAACAGAATACCCAGTTGCCAGCCCATTTCCTCGCGTGCCTCCTTACCTCCTTACCTCCGCACCTCTGCACCTCCTTCCAGTTTCAATGCGCTTTTCTCTTTCCTTCTAGTTGTAGAATTTCTACTCAGCCAGCCTTCCCGTGGTTCTGGATGATGTCCATTTTGTCTTTTAGTTGTAGTTTTGATGTGGTTGTGCGAGGCAGCAAGTACAAGCATGTACCTATGCTACCATCTTAGTTCCTCTCCTCCATGATGTTTATTGAAGGGAAAGGGGATGATGGTAGATAAGGAAGGAATTCAACCAATGGATGCATTTATATTCCCTTTGAACAGATGTTCTGCCCTGGACCTTCTGAGTTTCACTCTTAAAAATTATGATCTTGAAAAACATTATTATTCTGCTTCACAGCAGCTACATATAAAGGGAAAGAAAGATCATTGCAGCTGGACACAAGGCCGTAGTGAACTGCCCAGAAGGTCAGACTCCAGGGCTTTGACCATATGACATAGTAGCTAAATCAGACAATTAATTGTAGGAAAATCCATTTAAAAGTGTCTGAAAAGATAAAACAACTTTGGTTATACACTTTTCACTTTTCCTCATATTTTTTCCATGAGTTTCTCTGATCAAAGGAAGTAACATTTCTGCCCTGGATGGCGTGGCTCAATTGATTTGGTGCATCATCCTGTGCACCAAAGGGTCGCCAGTTCAATTCCCGGTCAGGGCACATGTCCAGGTTGTAGACTTGATGCTAGGTCAGGATATATGCAGGAGGCAGCCAATTGAAGGAATGTTTCTCACATCGATGCCTCTCTCTCTCTCTTTCTCTTTCTCTGTCTTTCTCTCACCCTCCCTCCTTGTCCCTTCCTCTCTCTCTAAGATCAATAAAAAATAGTAACATTTCTATAGCATATCTCTAAAATACTAATTTGGAAATCTTAATTGTATTCTCTATAGCTCAAAGCTATTAGTATTTTCTATGAAATTTTTTTCTAGAATGCTTCAAGAGTACAGTATTTGGTTTCATACATTTAGTTATACTCAGTCTAAGATCTAATTAGTGTAAATAAAGGTTCATTTCTCTGGAGAGAAATCAGCAGTGGCATACTTCCTTTGGCACATAAAACAATTGAGAGAAACCATCACTTTAGGGTATTTTTGTTTATTTCTATTCTTAAATCATTGCAGTTATATTTTTTTCGTTTTTGTGTTAATCCTCACCTGAAGATATGTTTTCTATTGATTTTGAGAGAGTGTGGGAAGGAGGGAGAGAGGGGGAGAGAAACATCAATACGAAAGAGACACTTCGATTGGTTGCCTCCCACATGAGCCATGACTGCCAGGGATCGAATCTGTAACCCAGGTACATGCCCTTGACTATGAATCGACCCTGAGACCCTTCGGTGCATGTGCCGACACTCTAACTGCTGACCACATGGGCCAGGGCTGGAGTTAGATTTCTGCAGCCACCTCCAATGGGCAATTTTACTCTAGGTGGGAAGTAAGTTTTCAGCTTGTTGATAATCAGCAGACAATGGGATTGTCTCTGTTAAATATCACTAGTGCTTCTAATTATTTTTAGAAGCCACAAGCTGTGACTGACAAGTGAGAGTAGAGCTACTTCGAACAACTTCACTTTAGTGTCAACAACTCTCCAGTTACCCCACTTTAATGATTGTTTTATTAGACTGTTTCTGGAGCCTGGATCATCTGTAAATAATCAGAGCTAGCCCGGCCAGCATGGCTCAGTGTTTGAGCATCGACTTATGAATCAGGATTCCAGTTGGCACATGCCTGAGTTGTGGGCTCGATCCCCAGTGAGGGTGGGCATACAGGAGGCAGCTGATCGATGATTCTCTCCCATCATTGATGTTTCTTTCTATCTCTCCCTCCTCTCTGAAATCAATGAAAATATATTTTTAAATAAATAAGCAGAGCTATCAGTAAATGATGTTTCTATATTGTTTTTGTTTTATATATACATATATAGAGATTTTTAAAAAATTTATCTTTATTGTTGAAAGTATTAGAGGTGTCCCCCCTTTTCTCCCCATTGACCCTCTCCACCTGGCACCCACCCCTCCCAGGCCTTCACTACACTATTATCTGTGTCCATGCGTTTAAGTTTTCCAGTTAATCTCTCCCCACTCTCCTACCCCCACCCTCTGACTTCCCTCTGAGATTCATCAGTCTGTTCCATGTTTCTGTGTCTCTGGATCTGTTTTGTCCATCAGTTTATTTTTTTCATTAGATTCTACATATGAGTGAGGTCATGTGATACTTATCTCTCTCTGATTGGTTTATTTAGCTTAGCATAATATTTTCTTATTGAGAAGTCAGTA